TCATGACAATGAACCTGGTGACGTATTACACAGACAAATGATATAGGGACATGTCTGCACGAAGACTCCTCCCAAAAACCTAAGAAATCAATATATCAGTCAGTCATATGGGAAGCAGATCAATGTCTCGTAAATGTCACATTCGCGAAAGTTAAAGAATACAGCTATATGTATGAAGATCATAGTTAAAATCCATATGTGGATAAATTTGACATTTAAAAGATTAAACAAAGAGTTCCGCGAAACACGATACGTCCGTCATCGGTTGAATGAAAATTTTGCAACTAGAAAGGAAAGGAAAGTGATGTTTGATGTCTGATCAACACAATAAGGTCATTTCGAGACAGTACTAGTTGTATAATGGTGGATGAAACCTGGGTAAACCATCGAGCATATGTGGTAATAACATTCCAAGATGTTCCATGAAAAAATACTATCAATTTTACAAAGGCCATTACTCAAAAAATGAAGGGCGAAACATTTTGATCATCGTTCTTGCCTGAGCTGTGGTAGTATCAAGTTTGGAGCTGATTCGTTGAAAGCTAATTAGATATCAAGTGGGCATTGTTTCTATATTTGAATATAAGGGCCATAACTCCGTAAAGTTTGGTCCTAATATTGAAGTCATCGAACTCGTCCAAGCTATTATGATAATGAACCTACCTGTGCAGTTTAAAGTAGAACCAATACAGTGGTGCTTCGACCTCGATACTTAAACCTAGGAGGCGACTGAGGAGGATAACACTTGGTGGAAATAAATGTCAAAAATATTATATGAGTGTCATAATTTTCAAAACTGAATCATTTTAAATGACCGTTACGTACCACGCAATCTGTCCATTTCACACTCGGTTTCAATATCTTCAAACGAATGACTAACAAAACAAAACAAAAAAGTCTGTATCAGTGAGTTGTTTATCCTTCTAGAGACACTCAAGTGATATTGGGGGCAAGAAAAGTGGAAAGGAACCCAAAAACGACAACCAACAGCACATATACTGTACAGTAGGGAAGATTTTGGTTCAGCATATTCCGTAAATTTGAAAATATATTAGTTTTAATAATAAGTATGTATAATTTTAACTGTGTCAATATTCACAAGAATTTAACAGCAAATTTAGAACCAGCAGTCTGTCAGGACTATTACTAATTAATGATTACAATTGTATAGTATATTGTGGCGGGGTTATTTGGTGCTTTGAGTTCGAGGCGTCACTGTCATTACGTTGAACCTATTGTCTTCATTATATCTGTCTTTTATATTTATATGCTTCTTAAAATTTATGCTGAATTTTGGATCGTTAATGAAGGCATTTCCCTAGGCGCTATATTGACGTACGTATACATTTTAAATTAAGATATTTCATTTACTTTTACAACCCCATGCCCATGATATAGATCCTGTGTAGCCAAACTGTCTGTTAAAATGATTAGACAGATGAATCAAATTCTCTCTATTCGTGAACTAATAACAAAGGGAAACATATATATATATATATATTACAATCAACTTGAACTTGGTGAAAACAAGACAATAAAAAAGTGTTTTGGAGACAGAATACCGGTCTAACACATAACGTGTTAGGTCTATTGTTTTATTGTTCAGTGCCTGGTACCCCATGACCTTCCCCATCGTGTGGCAAATATTGAGAACTTTTCTGTAAAATACGATAAGTCCTGTATCCACGATTTGTAGCTGCGAACGATGTCAGTCTGTTGTTTGAGGACTAAAAGATTGACAAGAGTGTGTCGCAACACACAACAGACGCAGTGATATCTGGGTAAACAATACATCTGTTTCATCGTGTCATATCTTCTTTAAAAGGGAATTGATATAATTATTGGATATTCATACTGAGTTACCCCCTCCACGCAACCCCCCGCTCCGCGCCTCCCCTCCAAAGGGTATATAATATTAGTAACGAATACCGTCCGTCTATTCGTCTGTGTCCATATCGTGTGATATCGGTTGCTTCTACAACTGGGTTCCCTTTTAAAGTTTTGGTTTTTAATTTTTTAACATTTACTCACGAGCAAAGAAAGTAAATTCCAAAACGATTAATAAAGAATCCCCTAGAACATGAATTACAACATTGACTGAAATAAACACGTCCATGTCCATATTTGTAATCTCCTATTGACAGTCTTTGATAATATTGTATACCTACACTGTAACTAATACATATACTCCCTTCCCGAAGTTCACTCTTATATACATGTGTATTTCTTCAGGTGAAAGCAGAATTTTATTATACTGACTGATGTCACATTTCAGCAATATGTTCACTTCATTACATAAACAATCCAGACCAGTTGTTGTATAGTGGCTACAGTCATTAACATAAACAACCCAGACCAGTTGTTTTACAGTGGCTACAGTCATTAACATAAACAACCCAGACCAGTTGTTGTATAGTGGCTACAGTCATTAACATAAACAACCCAGACCAAGTGGCTACAGTCATTAACATAAACAACCCAGACCAGTTGTTGTACAGTGGCTACAGTCATTAACATAAACAACCCAGACCAGTTGTTGTATAGTGGCTACAGTCATTAACATAAACAACCCAGACCAGTTGTTGTATAGTGGCTACAGTCATTAACATAAACAATCCAGACCAGTTGTTGTACAGTGGCTACAGTCATTAACATAAACAACCCAGACCAGTTGTTGTACAGTGGCTACAGTCATTAACATAAACAACCCAGACCAGTTGTTGTATAGTGGCTACAGTCATTAACATAAACAACCCAGACCAGTTGTTGTACAGTGGCTACAGTCATTAACATAAACAACACAGACCAGTTGTTGTACAGTGGCTACAGTCATTAACATAAACAACCCAGACCAGTTTGTACAGTGGCTACAGTCATTAACATAAACAACCCAGACCAGTTGTTGTACAGTGGCTACAGTCATTAACATAAACAATCCAGACCAGTTGTTGTATAGTGGCTACAGTCATTAACATAAACAATCCAGACCAGTTGTTGTACAGTGGCTACAGTCATTAACTTAAACAACCCAGACCAGTTGTCGTATAGTGGCTACAGTCATTAACATAAACAACACAGACCAGTTGTTGTACAGTGGCTACAGTCATTAACATAAACAACCCAGACCAGTTGTTGTATAGTGGCTACAGTCATTAACATAAACAACCCAGACCAGTTGTCGTATAGTGGCTACAGTCATTAACATAAACAACCCAGACCAGTTGTTGTATAGTGGCTACAGTCATTAACATAAACAACACAGACCAGTTGTTGTACAGTGGCTACAGTCATTAACATAAACAACACAGACCAGTTGTTGTACAGTGGCTACAGTCATTAACATAAACAACCCAGACCAGTTGTTGTACAGTGGCTACAGTCATTAACATAAACAATCCAGACCAGTTGTTGTACAGTGGCTACAGTCATTAACATAAACAATCCAGACCAGTTGTTGTACAGTGGCTACAGTCATTAACATAAACAATCCAGACCAGTTGTTGTACAGTGGCTACAGTCATTAACATAAACAACCCAGACCAGTTGTTGTATAGTGGCTACAGTCATTAACATAAACAACCCAGACCAGTTGTTGTTTAGTGGCTACAGTCATTAACATAAACAATCCAGACCAGTTGTTGTATAGTGGCTACAGTCATTAACTTAAACAATCCAGACCAGTTGTTGTTTAGTGGCTACAGTCATTAACATAAACAACCCAGACCAGTTGTTGTACAGTGGCTACAGTCATTAACATAAACAACCCAGACCAGTTGTTGTTTAGTGGCTACAGTCATTAACATAAACAATCCAGACCAGTTGTTGTACAGTGGCTACAGTCATTAACATAAACAACCCAGACCAGTTGTTGTACAGTGGCTACAGTCATTAACATAAACAACCCAGACCAGTTGTTGTTTAGTGGCTACAGTCATTAACATAAACAATCCAGACCAGTTGTTGTACAGTGGCTACAGTCATTAACATAAACAACCCAGACCAGTTGTTGTATAGTGGCTACAGTCATTAACATAAACAATCCAGACCAGTTGTTGTATAGTGGCTACAGTCATTAACATAAACAACCCAGACCAGTTGTTGTACAGTGGCTACAGTCATTAACATAAACAACCCAGACCAGTTGTTGTATAGTGGCTACAGTCATTAACAGAAACAATACAGACCAGTTGTTGTATAGTGGCTACAGTCATTAACATAAACAACCCAGACCAGTTGTTGTACAGTGGCTACAGTCATTAACATAAACAACCCAGACCAGTTGTTGTACAGTGGCTACAGTCATTAACATAAACAATAGTACTGATATAAAAAAATACTTGTTATTGTATTGGATCCTATTAACCTTTTTGTGTGTTCAGTTTCCCATTGACTACAGTTACTATTGTTAGTGTGTGAGGATTGTAACGTTTATTTTTTACTAGACAAGTAGACGGAAGTTGGAATTTGTTATGCTTTATCTTTTCTTATTTGAGAATTCCGTATGCTAGCATCTAGTCTCCAATATGAAATGGTATTATCGCAACGTCTCCATACTCCGCTGGTTCAATTAGTTTTAATAATCAAATAAAGGTAACAAAATTACTTACCCCTCCCCTGCTAAAATATATCAGTTACTTTTATTTGATATCACGTTCACATAATTCTATAGATATGTTGTTAGTCCTGTTCGATTATTGATTCATGCATTCCAAAATATTAAGTGAAATGTGCTCTTGTCGATTCTTTTATTCTCAAAATACACAAAGATACATCCCACTCCCCAAATATCGTTCTTTCCGTAGCGGGAAAGGAATTTTTCACTATACATATGCTCTGTAGTAAAAGAACAGCTGAGAGAAGTTGGTGGTGTGCCACCTCTAGAGCATACACGTCTGACCGGAAGTGGTTTTACTGATTTTGATTTGTACGCACCTGGAACGATGCAGTAAAATGTGCTAAAATAGATAACGTTTGATATAAGGTTATACACAGCATCAAATATGGCGGATACCGGGCCAGAGCTGGAATTATTGTTTTTTGATACATTTTCACACGAAGGGCAGGGGGCTGAGGTAAGCCGTCGCAAAGAAATATACACCGTTCTTCCGTATTTGTATGCGTATACAACTGGCTACTTGCTTTTAAAAGAGTGCAGTACAAAAGGTTTCTTCATTGTCGTTTGCCAAATTAGCCATCACATGGTCGGACGACGAGGGACATTGTCAAACGTCCGATATAAATGAGTCCAAAGGCGGAATCCCAAAAGGGATTAGATCTCATGGTACAGTAACTGCAGTACATTAAGCCAAAATATAAGCCTGTTTGCCAAAAAAGGAAAATAAATTATGTTTTTTTTTGTTATGTTTTTGTTTCTTCCCTCTTCAAAATCAACACCCTGTTAAACATATAGATAAGAATAAAGGATTGCATTAACAGCTGTTTGAAATTTTTCATTAATTTTTCTTCAGCAATTAAACCTTGATCTAGTCCAGTTTCCCCGACCTGTCATCATCCATGAAGTGCGAGTGATCCCTCTACAGACCAGAGTCCAGGCAGATGTTCCTGGAGGTGTCCGACTCGGGTAAGTTTAAAATACTGTCGAGTAAAGGGGCATGTTTCAGGGGTGTCAGACTGAGGTAGGTCTAACATACTTCAATATCATGTAAGAGGATAGAAATATTGTTGGTTCATGAGACACATTGAGAGTATACACAAGGTACATCTGATATGGTTATACGTCATATGAATATAGCTTTTTCTTTTTCGCAGTGCCACAAATCCTTCCAGTTTCAAACTTGAATTGTTTGTCAACAATTTGAGCAAGCCGAATGCTGCTACATTTGAAAGACTTGGCGTGTAAGATATAGATTTTTACTATTATTTTGATTAACAGTAAATACAACTATATGAAGGGCAGTGTGTTGAATTACCAAATGAGCTAGTTTTTATGCTGCATGTGTACTGGTAATACTAATAGCTGTATTTTTATACCAGTATTGTAAGGAAAAGAAAACTAAGACAACCATTTAGCAGTACTCTGTGACTTGGTGGATCGCAAATATTTCTTAAGTCTATACTCTATATAGCCTAAGATGAAAACTAATTTGATGAATAAAAGTATATTTCAAAATCTGGATATTTCTGTCTTTGTTTTTGTAAGTTGCTACCATTAAAGCATTTCCATGACACATGTACTGCACCAACAAATTTGTTTCAAAGTGTGAAATTTAATGACAATTCCAATTAATTGTGTATAACGTTTGTGATGATGATTGTACACAATTTTTTGTGTGAAAATTTATTTGATGGTTATGATTATAATAGATAACAGGTTAACATATAAATTTTAAAGTTGTTTGTTTCATTTCAGTCTCGATTATAAACAGAATGTGGATATCAGGTTACGAGCAGAGTCATCAGAGGTGAGATATTAGTGATAATAAGAATTTTATGTACTTCTCTAATACCTGGGTGGAGGGGAAGCGGGGACTGGAATAGCTCATTTGCCTACATAACCTTAGGTTAGGTGACAATCCAATGAGCATTGTTCGGCACTTTACCATGGGGGTTTGTGTTTCTCAGGCAGCTGAAAAATGATGGACTGTGCTGATGTGGTTGCTCTTGGGAAAGACACTTTATCGTTGTTGTTCTGGATGGCCTCAGATATATGTTGTTTATTGATATAGCACACTGGATATCGCCTTTGTAATCTGTTTGTTGAAGTGCCATTCATTTATTTTTTAATTTCTTTATTTTCATTGTTGCCACAGATTCCGACAGATGGACTGATACTGAAGGGATGGTACACCACCATCACCATTGCTATTTATGGGACGCTGACAGTGGTGAAACCTGACCATTCCTCTCCACCACCACCACCTCCTCCACAAGTCAGACAAAAGAACCGTAAGCTTAAGTTCGACCATTCATAGACAGCCATTTTGTAGATGTTAAAGAAATTCTGCCACATACTTTTTATTTATGAGTGATAGTCAAGAGTCATTTTTATTCCCCAATGAAATATAATGTTACAGGTATCTGTTTATCTGGTCATGTCACTTTCCAAATTATTTTTCATGTACTGGAACATCACAACAAATTAAGTTCATATTTACCTGATAGAATCACAAGTTTTACACCTATCATATTAAGTAGGTCATCGGTCAAGGTAAAAGGGTCAAATATTACGTTTGACAACATCTCAATTCATAAAACAATGATACCTAGTTTGGAAAAGGCCACGTTCCTGTCTTAGAAACATGATTATATTATATTTAGGTTAGTAGGGAATGTAGTAATCACTTTGTATTCATGTGTGCATGCATTCATGACAACCTTGTGTTGAAGATATCTCATGAACCCCAGAACAGATTTAGTTCACACGATAGAATCATAACAACAATATCTACACAGCATTAGGTGTTTTTGGGGTGATTGGACAAATTGAAGGTCTCCCTTGAATTCTCTGCAAATTAAAAGCTTGTTTACAAGATAAGTGGCGGATGGAATATATTTGTAAGAGCCCATGCTTGCTTTGTTATTAGTATTTAAAAGGACAAGTCCTTATAAAGAAAAATGATAAAAAAGGAAATTGGATTTTAGAAAGCATTTTATATCTTGATCTGGAAATATGCAGAACACATCAGGATCTAGAGGAAGGTTTTTATTCAGGTTTAATGAATTGAATTTAATAATCTTGGTTCCAAGTGTTAAGTGTATGTGATTTTTTTTAAGATAAATGAATTTTAATGAAATGAAATTTGATAGATTAATGAATGCGTTTCAATTACAAATCTATTATTAAGAATGCAGTTTAATGCTGCATTAATGCTGTTCTTGAAATTTGTTAAGGTGCCTAATAATTTTACAGCTATTGAAACAAGAAGTGCTGGGGGCTCTGACATGGCACGTCAGGATTGGGAACAACAAACGCCAGCCAGAACAGTATCAACTACAACAGACATCCCTCGGTCTGAATGGGAACCCCCACCACCTCGAGCAGCACAGTCAAAACCTCCGCAGCAACACCCCTTAGACTATATCCAGCAGCAGGTTCAACTCCAGCAGAAACAGCAACAGGCTGTACACTCCCAGCCTCAACCTCTTCCTAATATGTCTCATCCCCCTCCGAATCTTACACATCCACCCCCACAACCAGTGCCACCCCCACAGACTAACATTCCCCCACCACAGATTGCGGGACAACCCCCGTCTGATATTTACAGAGGTGTGGAAGCTCCATTTGACAGGGCTCTTCACCCCACTGCCCAGCATAGAGACATAATGCAAGAGTTTATACAAAGTCCTAAATTGGGGATCATTGACAGTCGTGATGGAGGACACTTTGATGGGCGTGATTCTCAGAGGGATTTCTCAACTGAGAAACGAGAGAACTATGAAGGTAGAGATGTGTATGATGAAAACAGATCACAAGGTTCCTATGAAAAAGACTATAGGACACTAAGAGATTCAAATAGTCGAGAGAGGGAGTATGACCAGTCTAGAGAGAGTTCTAGGGACAGAGAGTATAGAGGGAGGGAAATGGGGGAGAAGGAGCGTAGAGAAAAAGTATGGGAAAAGTTTCGTGAAAGGGAAAGGGAACGTGACACAGGGTTCAGGGAAAAGCCAAAAGACTATGGAGAACGAAGTCCAAGGGACTGGCCAAGAAGTCCTTCCAAACGTACTTGGTCAAGGTCACGTTCTCGATCCAGATCCCGCTCAAGATCAAGGTCAGATTCTAGATCTCGTTCAAGGTCTAGGTCAAGGTCTTATTCTAGATCAAGGTCATACTCAAGATCTCCAAGACGATCCTCTAGATCTCCAAGGAGGTCATTTTCAAGATCTCCTCGAAGATCTTATTCAAGATCACCTAGAAGGTCATATTCAAGGTCACCAAGAAGATCTAGGTCACGCTCAAGAACTCCAAGAAGGTCTTACTCACCAAGATCCCCAGGACCATATAGGTCACCAGTTCCAAGGTCAAGGACTCCTTCAGAAATGCATCCAAGGTCACCAATTCACCCAAGGTCACCAATTCATCCAAGGTCACCAGTTCATCCGATGTCGCCAGTACAAACACCGGTACCTGTGCAGACTCCACTGTCTCCCCCTCAAGAGCTGCAGCAAACAGAAGAATCACCAATTCCAATCATCAGACAGCCAAGGGAAGCACGAGAGGTCCTTAGGGAGCCCTCTCTGCCCCATGAGGAGACTATGGAAGCAGGTAATAGAAATGGAATAGATAAAAATATAAGATGTATGAAACTCATGTTTGACAGAAAGTAGGGCATAATTCAGTATGAAATAAATCCTAACATAATGGTATGGCCTTTAGCATTTTTATAAACTTTGTTACCAATTCTTGAATATTGTACTTCCTTTTCCAAATTTGAAGTGCTCGGTATGATATTCTGTAGATTTCATTCCTGTGGACTACATTTTGTGATGAAAGTTGACATCATGTTTGAATTTAGCCGCAGCAATTTCAACATTTTTCTGTTGTTTGGGTACTGCTCTTTGAGTATAACTCTGGAAACTTTGTGTGAATTATCAACAGCAATCACAGATTTGAAATGAGTGAATGCTGACTATTTGGATCACTTTTGATTTCAGACAAATATCGATATTTTGATGAAAATTACAAAATACACTGCAACCCTTTCATTTTTTTATGAAAACTATTCTCAAATATTTTTCTATCAAAGAATAAAGTCTTTAAAAAAATCAATTTTCACAACATTGTGAAATAAAGATTTCAGCAATTTTTCTAAATTTTTGTTTTTCAGTTGCTATGGAGGTTTGGAAACTCAAATTAAACTGAAAATTGTTTGCTTATTATTCAAATATTATTCTATTGTATTTAATGAAAAAGGAATTTGTGGGATGCAAAGTCTGCCTCGAAAATAATCAAGAATTCTGGTTATACACAAAAAATAATAAGTAAAAATGAATATTTCCAATAACACATATTCTGGTATCTGTGGTGATTAAAGAAGTGCAGCAACATATTGTTTTTTTTTATGCTTTTGCATCATTTTCTGCAATCTAACCTTGCAAAACATTACAACATTTTCAAAATGTTAGGTGTCTGAGATTCATACATCCTTGAGTCTTTTGTCTGTATTTCTTTAGAATTCACATCAGTTTTAGGATAGCATATGTGTATGAACAATGGGAGCCACAGGGATAATTAGTTTTCTATCTGACTAGGAGTTGCTTGCCAATTAACAAAAGGTTTTGTTTTCACAAAATCATTTCATTCATGTAGACATCTTGATTAAGAAGTAAGAAACTTCCTGCATCTAGTCATTGTTTTATTTATTCAATAGTGATGCATCATTTGGGATATTTCTTTGTAAGAATTTTAACAAACTTTTGATGTGTACGTCTGTACTTACACCTAGTATGGTTATAACAAGATTATCCTGTCTGCTATATTTGCAGGGGAGATAATTGATGAGATTGGTCAGCCTCTCTTTGATCAGCTAACTCCTGATCATTCTCCAGGACCAATGTTTTCTTCAGATGGTGAAATCCAGGTAATATTTCTCTTTCTTTGAAATTTTTTATGGTTTTGTAATTATGAAATTAGGGAAATCTTTGTAGAAGTTTTTAATTTGTATCTCATGGAAAGACTTTTGTTAAAATTGTCTGGCCATGTTGCTCCATGCATTTAAATGCTGTTGAAATCTGGTTGGCAGATGGTTTCTGCATAATTTACATAAAGAATATTAATAATAAATGTTCTACCCATACCATAGGCTCATGATTGATGATCAGCCAAATCTAAAAATATCTAATACAGTTGTTGTACAAGTCTATCACCTGAGAACATGAAGATCCTTACTGTAATATGTATCTGTAACTAAGGTTGATAAATGCATTTATCTTACTAGAATTGTGCTCATAGTTTGGTATGATGTTAAAGAAACTTTATTCAACTTTCAAATTTGAATGTAAAATAATGAACTGGTCCATGGACCCTTGTTTGATTTAAAAATCCAGAATGAGCGATTTGTTTTCTGGGTTGTCGGACCATTCAATCCTCAAATTCACAAGATAGATCTTAATGAAATATAAACATGTTCAGTGCATATGTATGTCTCATTTCTGCCTAATTTTTTTTAAAACTTTATCTGTATGTTCAAACCATCACTTTTACAATTTGGGTTAGAAATGGTGCTGAAAGCAAGTTACTATATTCATAGATTTTCTGATCACTACCAAATCTAATGGCTATCATCTTGTCAGTGATGCCTTGTTGAATTGACATTAAAAACAATTTGAAAATTATTTAAAGTGATGTTTAGGTTTTGTATCTGTTAATTATCTAAAGGAATGTTTAGGTTTTGTATGTGTTTTACAGGAATATTTAGGTTTTGTATGTGTTTTACAGGAATATTTAGGTTTTGTATCTGTTTTACAGGAATGTTTAGGTTTTGTATGTGTTTTACAGGAATATTTAGGTTTTGTATGTGTTTTACAGGAATGTTTAGGTTTTGTATGTGTTTTACAGGAATGTTTAGGTTTTGTATGTGTTTTACAGGAATGTTTAGGTTTTGTATGTGTTTTACAGGAATGTTTAGGTTTTGTATGTGTTTTACAGGAATGTTTAGGTTTTGTATGTGTTTTACAGGAATGTTTAGGTTTTGTATGTGTTTTACAGGAATATTTAGGTTTTGTATGTGTTTTACAGGAATGTTTAGGTTTTGTATGGTTTAGGTTTTGTATCTGTTTTACAGGAATATTTAGGTTTTGTATGTGTTTTACAGGAATGTTTAGGTTTTGTATGTGTTTTACAGGAATATTTAGGTTTTGTATGTGTTTTACAGGAATGTTTAGGTTTGTATGTGTTTTACAGGAATGTTTAGGTTTTGTATGTGTTTTACAGGAATGTTTAGGTTTTGTATGTGTTTTACAGGAATGTTTAGGTTTTGTATGTGTTTTACAGGAATGTTTAGGTTTTGTATGTGTTTTACAGGAATGTTTAGGTTTTGTATGTGTTTTACAGGAATGTTTAGGTTTTGTATGTGTTTTACAGGAATGTTTAGGTTTTGTATGTGTTTTACAGGAATGTTTAGGTTTTGTATGTGTTTTACAGGAATGTTTAGGTTTTGTATGTGTTTTACAGGAATGTTTAGGTTTTGTATGTGTTTTACAGGAATGTTTAGGTTTTGTATGTGTTTTACAGGAATGTTTAGGTTTTGTATGTGTTTTACAGGAATGTTTAGGTTTTGTATGTGTTTTACAGGAATGTTTAGGTTTTGTATGTGTTTTACAGGAATGTTTAGGTTTTGTATGTGTTTTACAGGAATGTTTAGGTTTTGTATGTGTTTTACAGGAATGTTTAGGTTTTGTATGTGTTTTACAGGAATGTTTAGGTTTTGTATGTGTTTTACAGGAATGTTTAGGTTTTGTATGTGTTTTACAGGAATGTTTAGGTTTTGTATGTGTTTTACAGGAATGTTTAGGTTTTGTATGTGTTTTACAGGAATGTTTAGGTTTTGTATGTGTTTTACAGGAATGTTTAGGTTTTGTATGTGTTTTACAGGAATGTTTAGGTTTTGTATGTGTTTTACAGGAATGTTTAGGTTTTGTATGTGTTTTACAGGAATGTTTAGGTTTTGTATGTGTTTTACAGGAATGTTTAGGTTTTGTATGTGTTTTACAGGAATGTTTAGGTTTTGTATGTGTTTTACAGGAATATTTAGGTTTTGTATGTGTTTTACAGGAGGTGGATGATACATATGAAAATATTTCTTCTGATGATGAACTGGAACTAGATGGGGACGACATCATGTCAGTAAGTGGATATCTTCAGTTTTTATCAAAAATTTCAAATCTTAACTTGTTTATTAAAGCCAAACATTACTAATATAACAAACTTGATTCAAGGTCACGGTTTACCATGATATAACTTTGAATTTATTTATCCTCTTCTGTTGATATGAAGCTTGCCTTGTTTGATGGTGGTCAGTTTGCCTATTGATTCTGTTATTGTATACTGCATTCTCCTTTGTGAATGTGACATTGCTTACTGTAAATATATACACTATACTGATATACCGTAAAGGTTTAAGGTGATAAATGAATTGTATTGAATGTTCTTTGATTTACATGGCAAGTCTCTGTATTAATATTTCATTTGTTCCTATTTTGCCCTGATTTTATTGAATGTGAGATGGATTATGATTACGTTCACAAGTTGGTAATTTCTCGTTGTTTATGTAATATAATGTAGTATATCTATAGCAGTGTGTATATATTTATTTCCTTATAAATAAACATCTTGCTTTCAGATTACACTGTCATATGACTTTGCTTTTCAAGGTCACATTTTCAATAGGTAATATCATGAAGAAAACAGTCCGTATTCTAGCCTGACTTTGAGAAATAATTTTTATGATAAAGCAAAATTATTAAGATTACTTAAATGCTATGAATTTTTTTCTCAAACCAGAATATGGACATGTATGATATGGTTGATGACTATGCTACAATCTCGTTCAACCCATTCCAGTTTGAAGTCACCAAACTTGCGGTTAGTGATGATATGTACTACTATTGTCTAATGATTTTCAAATAATGAAAATAGTGAAAACAATATTTTGTAAAAGAAATTTGTGTGTATTTCTGGAGTTATTGCAATCTCATTTTGTTAAGACTTATTTTTAAATTTACTATCTTGGCTGTCTTAGTTTCCAGTTGTACCAAAATATTGAAAGCTAGAAATCTACTTTCAGACTTATATGTTTAAACCAGAGAAGGAAAGAACACTGAAGTTTTATTTTGAGTTATATTTCTAGAATTAGAGCCAACATCACTGTTACTAATGAAAGGGTCCCTCGCCTTTTATCTAGATACCCGAGGATAAGCAGGGCATTGATTTGAGTAAGCCTTATTATTCTAACTGAGGTTTACATTAACTTTTTCCATAGACATTGACAGAAGTGACACTAACAAAGTATGAGGTGGAATTTTCTACCCTTCAACAGCAGACGGACAAGGCTACAGACAGACCCTCGGAGGCCACAACTTTACTAGAACTCGTGGATGAGTTCTCTTCCTCCGATCATCATGGCAGGTTCGTAATGCTTTTAACAGCTTGTCCACTATTTCAGATTTGATATTGTAACTTGAAAATAACAAGAACGATCCATGAAAATTTAAGGATTACATAAAGTTGTTAAAGGTCAGGAGTGTTTTAAGGTCACCTGTCTTATGGTGACTTCTCAGAAACATGTGAACTAAGTTCAATGAAATTTTGTAGAAATCTTCTATGGCCTAAGATGAACCAAACTAGTGACTTGTATAGTCCCCATCCCACAGGGGCCTGAGGAATGGGCCCAAAAGGGGTTAAATTGACTCAGATTTTAAAAATCTCCTTCTCAACACCCAGATATGTTAGAATCAAATACTCTTCATGGATGGAAGCGTCTAAGGTGGTTTACAAATATTTTGAATTTCATGGCCCCAGGGTTTCAAATTTCCTTGTTGGGAGGGGGTAAAGTTTACTTTAGTTTTTATAGGCAAAACAGATTTTGAGCATAATTTGTTTAATTTCCATTAGAAATATTTCAAACTTGATTAGAGTTATGAGTGAAGGATGACAGCTTGATGGTATGCCAATATTGATCCTGATTGACCCCCAGGTGCTGATGGGTGGGGCCAAAAGGGATAAAATTGATTCAGATTTCAAAAATGTTCTTTTCAACACCCACATATGATAGAATCAATTTCTCTTCATGATGGAAGCATCTTAAGGTGCTTTGCGAAAATTGTAAATTTCATGGCCCAAGGGTCTCACATTTCTCTGTGGGGAGGAATTAAAGTTTACTATAGTTTATAGAGGAAAACTAGATTTTTGAGCTTAATTTGTTTAATTTCCATTGGAAATATTTCAATATTTGTTAGAATTATGAGTGAAGAGAGGACAGCTAGATGGTATGCCCATATTGATTCTAACTTACCCATAGGGGCTGATGGGTGGGGCCAAAAGGGGTCAAATTGACTTAAATTTCAATAATCTTCTACTTAACACCCAGGTAAGGTAGAATCAAATATACTTCATGGATGAAAGCGTCTTAAGGTGCTTTAATTACCAAAATGGGTCTCATATTTCTTGCTGGGTAGGAGGTTAACTTTTACTGTGATTGTATTTTTGAGCATAACATTAAATTCCCACTGAACTTTGTAAGAATTCTTAGTATAAGATGATAGTTTTGATGGCATGCAGGTATTGACACTGGCTTACTATCATCATTGTCACTCTTTCTTTTCCATGACACTTCCGGTACTTACCCTTTAACCTTTATAATCTGTATTGCTTGTCTCTGGTGACTGTCAAGGCAGCTAGGCCTCTGACATATTCTGATAGAGCCTGTGAACGGCCTGGGATTCAATGTAATATTGTACTTCAAAATTACTGAGGATATTCCATAAAGATTTCAGATGTATTACATGGAAATTTAATATGTTTCTTACAGATGTATTTTGTCATGTTGCAAGATGTTATTGGGTTGTTTTTTTTGTTGACATTGACCTAAGAAAGTAATAAATATTGAATATCTTAGAGTGTACTCCCATATTTGATGCCAAGTTGAAGAAAAGGATGTGCAACATAAATCAGGGCTAAATGAAAATTTGGAATACTTCTGTTATTCATTTCAGATGGATTGAAGCATTAGAAAGTGTGCCAAGTCTCCTGGTGAAAGGCTTGTCTTTCCTGTTACATCAGGAGAACAGGACAGGTAGGGAACACAACAAGCTGGTAGCTGTATTACTAGATATTAGTTAACATTACACAGAACATAGGCAGTATCAAATGAGCAATTTACACTGGTATACATTCACCTCATAAATAAATGTACTTTTCTTTCCAACAGAAACCATTTGTGGTAAAATATTGATTTTTGAATTTGCCCAGAGGTATTATTTCCTTTTATTTAACTTATTTACTAAATTGAGCTTTGTTACCACACATTTATATACTGTTGTTATACAAGTAGTTCCTGGTATAGCAAAAAAAAAAAAAAAAAGATTGATATCACACTAGATCTTGTTACCTGTTATTTCAATGCAGTGACTAGAAGACACCACTCTGCTTTGTCTTAATTACTAAAGCAACTAACTGTAAAAATGACATTATCTGTAAAATCTCTTATATTTGTGTCATTACTCACTGCAGTGATGATACAAGATTTTGTCTAATTGATGGGTTCCTATAATGTATTACTGATTATTTTGGTGTAGATGTAACGCCTATAGTCGTTGTTGCTGTTTCTGTATCACACTATATAACATACAATCACAATTTGTCAGTACATCGTCTTTAGAAAGTTTCAGTTAGAAACTAAAAGAGCAAAATGATGTTATGAGCAACGGTACAACTATTACTATAACAAATGTAGACTTCAGTGATTGAGATTTAATACCAGAGCTTTGTTTCTAGACATCCTAGACCAATTACTTGAGTGGACACTCGAAGGGCTAGACCTTGTTAAAGCCATGGCACAACCAGAGACTGCCCACAAGGTGCGGCATCTGAAGATGGGTATCAAACTGGCGGGGAGTATGTGTACCTGTAGCAGGGATATTGTTCTGAAATGTCTGGTAAGTAAATCATTACACATTATGACATATATTTCAGTAATCTTCAACACTTTGTAACAGAGAGTAAAATGGATAGAATTGAGTAAGAGTAGACCCTTTGAATTTGGAAAAGAATGCATGTTTATTTCTGATATACTGTATTCTAGATATTAGACCTAGATTCAGAAATTTGTTACTGCAATGTTTATTGAAAAAAGAAAATTGAATAGAAGCTCCAAAACTGATGTCAAGGACAATGATTTTTATCCCTGGTACATAGTTAGGGCCCCGCATCGCGATGCGGGTGCCCTATAGTAATCACCTTGTCCGTCTGTCTGTCCGTCTGTCTGTCTGTCCGTTTCGCTTTCCGCACGATATCTTGAGAAGGAATGATGAGATTTCGATGAAACTTGCTTATGATACTTGGTACATAAGTCCCTCGCTCAAGTTCGATGTTCGCCAAATTCCGCGCATATTTAATGAGGCTGCTGCAATCTGATTGGCTGAATGTTTTACTTGTCTGTCGGTTTCGCTTTCCGCGCGATATCTTGAGAAGGAATGATGGGATTTCGATGAAACATGCTTATGATACTTGGTACATAAGTCCCTTGCTCAAGTTCGATGTTCGCCAAATTCCGCGCATATTTAATGAGGCTGCTGCAATCTGATTGGCTGAATGTTTTACATGTCTGTCGGTTTCGCTTTCCACACGATATCTTGAGAAGGAATGATGGGATTTCGATGAAACTTGCTTATGATACTTGGTACATAAGTCCCTTGCTCAAGTTCGATGTTTGCCGAATTCCGCGCATATTTAATGAGGCTGCTGCAATCTGATTGGCTGAATGTTTTACAGAGAATATCTTCTGAAGGAATGATTTGGGATTTCTTTAAAACTTGCTTTGTGATACTTGGTACATAAGCCCCTCATTCGAGTTCAATGTTCACCCTGTCCGTCTGTCTGTCCGTCCGTTTCCCTGTCCGTCGATCCATATATCTGTCCATCTGTCCATTTTCATTGGATACTCAATCATAAGGGGTAGGTATTATGCGGGGCCCTTGCTCGACATTGGTCTAGTTTTTTTACTTTTTCCTTCACATTACTGACCTTTTTTCAGTAAAAATTTCAGTCGTAGTAAAATTGGTTTCTGAGATTATTAAGTCTTGTGTCTAGAGATACCATTAGCTGTTTAACTATTTCTTCAGGCCATGGACATCCAACATAAGTTACTGGATCTTTTTGTGGCTCCCTACATGTCATTCTCCCTCAAACTCCAAATCATTCGTGCCATTGACCAGTCAACACGCTTTGCCGATGGCATGAAATGGTTCTTAGGGAACCACTTACTGCAGGGCACAAAAGACAAAATGGAAAGTGATGATGATCTAAAGGTGGAAGTAAAATTGAACGAAACAAAGGAGAGCTGTTATGAAAGACTTATTGAATGTATGATGAATAAACAGGTATGTCGTTATTTATCATTGATATTGTCCTTTTTACAATTTAAATGACCATAACAAAGGACATCGCTATTTTATATATGATTTTTTATTGAAGTTCTGTGATATAATGCGCAATATTAACATAAAGAAACACTTGAATTGTTGAAGTTGTGAAGCATTGTTTTATCAACAGCAATCAATTTTACAAAAATAAATTAATAAACAAAATATTTACAATTAAAGAAATATTGCACTCATTGGTAGCCATAACAAGAAAGGAAAACCCTCATTTGTAAGTTATCTAGAGAGACATCTGAGTTATGTTTCACTTACTGAATTTCATATCAGTATGAAAATTGAATATCTTTTCACAATTTTGGTTTTTTGTTTCAGGTTGCCAGAGTAACTATTGCAATGGCTGCATTTCTGAAGAAAATTCACATTTTTGAGTTATTTTCTAGTGTTTCAGGAAATGTTAAAAGGTTAGTTTTTATGATATATCTCGTGTATATCAGTGATATATGTATATAGAGATATCAGTTGACACTATATAGAGAATATATAGTCAGTGTATAATACCAGCTGTATATTGACGAGGGTGAAGCAAGGTTGAAGATGGGTCCCGAGCCAAAATACAGCTTATATTATAAGTCACTGATCCTGTGTTCTTTTTATCCTGCAACATTGATAGAAAATCAGACTGTAGAAACGTAAACAGTTTTGTTGTTCAATCTGTGTTTACATGACGTTGATATTATGAATTTTTCCGGTTGATGAATGCCAAAATAATTGCTCCGTACGGAAAAATAGTTCCAAACTTCATCAGCTATAACAGCAATTGTATGAACTTTCAAAGATCAATACGTTCATTACAACATGTAAAACTGTTTATTTCAACAACTATTTTATATTTCTAAAAAAGTTTGTTATTGCTATTTCTTGAGAGGTATTGGATGTATCTGGAGGACTCTTGATCCCTAATTTGTACTTTCCATTTTTAGACTGATCAGGAAAACAAAATGGCTGACAGGTGACCATCTTAGGTTTTGAAATGAAAGTTTATCATGGCTATTTCTTTAGAAATACCTGATGGACCACACTTAGAGTTTATATAGATTTCTCTTGCTTTCTAACTTAACCCTTTTGATTTTGGAACTGAATAGGAAACCCAAAATGGCTGACTATCTTGGATTAAGCAATTGAATATTGCTATTGCTATTTATGAAAGGAATTTTAAAATTTCACATAACTAAAAGCAAAAAACAGAGAAAAGAAGGGAAAAGATCCAATATTGAAACATCAAATTGATAAAGATCAAACAATGATGGGTGCCAAGGGCCCTCTTTGATCTCCTCGTTATTTTATGTCGTATATTAGTGTTGTGATAATCAACTGATCATTTCTGGTTATTTTACAGTGTTACTGAACGTTTATCAGCACTGGAAGATGAAACTGGCCAGAAGAAAGATGGAGAAAATACTGAACTTGACCTTGAAAGTCTGATGATGACCGGTACAGTGACCAACACTGAGATTGAGACGTTGGTCAGTGGTCTAGAGGAAGTCACCAAGGTTTTTTCCATAGCCCCCCACCTGATTGTAAGTTCAGTCAATTATGCTTTAGTTGACACTGAGTTCAGTCAATTGTGCTTTAGTTGACAGTAAGTTCAGTCAATTGTGCTTTAGTTGACCCAGTAAGTTCAGTCAATTGTGCTTTAGTTGACCCAGTAAGTTCAGTCAATTGTGCTTTAGTTGACCCAGTAAGTTCAGTCAATTGTGCTTTAGTTGACACTGAGTTCAGTCAATTGTGCTTTAGTTGACCCAGTAAGTTCAGTCAATTTTGCTTTAGTTGACACAGTAAGTTCAGTCAATTGTGCTTTAGTTGACCCAGTAAGTTCAGTCAATTGTGCTTTAGTTGACACTGAGTTCAGTCAATTGTGCTTTAGTTGACACAGTAAGTTCAGTCAATTGTGCTTTAGTTGACCCAGTAAGTTCAGTCAATTGTGCTTTAGTTGACACAGTAAGTTCAGTCAATTGTGCTTTAGTTGACCCAGTAAGTTCAGTCAATTGTGATTTAGTTGACAGTAAGTTCAGTCAATTGTGCTTTAAATGACAGTAAGTTCAGTCAATTGTGCTTTAGTTGACACTGAGTTCAGTCAATTGTGCTTTAGTTGACCGAGTAAGTTCAGTCAATTGTGCTTTAGTTGACACAGTAAGTTCAGTCAATTGTGCTTTAGTTGACCCAGTAAGTTCAGTCAATTGTGCTTTAGTTGACCCAGTAAGTTCAGTCAATTGTGCTTTAGTTGACAGTAAGTTCAGTCAATTGTGCTTTAGTTGACAGTAAGTTCAGTCAATTGTGCTTTAGTTGACAGTAAGTTCAGTCAATTGTGCTTTAGTTGACCCAGTAAGTTCAGTCAATTGTGCTTTAGTTGACACAGTAAGTTCAGTCAATTGTGCTTAAGTTGACAGTAAGTTCAGTCAATTGTGCTTTAGTTGACACAGTAAGTTCAGTCAATTGTGCTTTAGTTGACACAGTAAGTTCAGTCAATTGTGCTTAAGTTGACAGTAAGTTCAGTCAATTGTGCTTAAGTTGACAGTAAGTTCAGTCAATTGTGATTTAGTTGACCCAGTAAGTTCAGTCAATTGTGCTTAAGTTGACAGTAAGTTCAGTCAATTGTGCTTTAGTTGACACAGTAAGTTCAGTCAATTGTGCTTTAGTTGACACAGTAAGTTCAGTCAATTGTGCTTAAGTTGACCAGTAAGTTCAGTCAATTGTGCTTTAGATGACAGTAAGTTCAGTCAATTGTGCTTTAGTTGACAGTAAGTTCAGTCAATTGTGATTCAGTTGACCCAGTAAGTTCAGTCAATTGTGCTTTAGTTGACAGTAAGTTCAGTCAATTGTGCTTTAGTTGACACAGTAAGTTCAGTCAATTGTGCTTTAGTTGACAGTAAGTTCAGTCAATTGTGCTTTAGTTGACACAGTAAGTTCAGTCAATTGTGATTTAGTTGACACAGTAAGTTCAGTCAATTGTGCTTTAGTTGACACAGTAAGTTCAGTCAATTGTGCTTTAGTTGACACAGTAAGTTCAGTCAATTGTGATTTAGTTGACACAGTAAGTTCAGTCAATTGTGCTTTAGTTGACACAGTAAGTTAAGTCAATTGTGCTTTAGTTGTCACTTTTGTGTTGTTCACTGAAGCATCAGGTTTGATTTCATGTTAAGATACACTATCACTTTTTGTCGCTGTACACTCTGTAGTTGTCCTCTCAATTTTAATTGCAGTCAACGTTTTAAAGTATTATTGTTGCAATCTTGAATGTTCCGTGGACTTATTTCTCTGATGTCTTAATGCCCATTGAATGGTTGTTCCACTGACGACCTGGTAATTGAATGGTTGTTCCACCGACGACTTGGTGATTGAATGGTTGTTCCACCGACGACCTGGTGATTGAATGGTTGTTCCACTGACGACTTGGTAATTGAGTGGTTATTCCACAGACGACCTGGTGATTGAATGGTTGTTCCACCGACGACCTGGTAATTGAATGGTTGTTCCACCGATGACCTGGTGATTGAATGGTTGTTCCACAGACGACCTGGTGATTGAATGGTTGTTCCACAGACGACCTGGTGATTGAATGGTTGTTCCACCGACGACCTGGTGATTGAATGGTTGTTCCACTGACGACCTGGTGATTGAATGGTTATTCCACCGACGACCTGGCAATTGAATGGTTGTTCCACTGACGAGCTGGTAATTGAATGGTTATTCCACCGACGACCTGGTGATTGAGTGGTTGTTCCACCGACGACCTGGTGATTGAATGGTTGTTCCACTGACGACCTGGTGATTGAATGGTTGTTACACCGACGACCTGGCAATTGAATGGTTGTTCCACAGACGACCTGGTGATTGAATGGTTAACCAGTGAAATGATTCGTATGAAAGTTTATATCAATATAAAGAAGCATGATCTAGATGTGCATGCAACATTTTTCAGGCCTCATGATCTAGATGACACGGGTCAGTCCTCATGATCTAGATGACACGAGTAGGGCCTCAAGCTCTAAATGACACGGGTCAGTCCTCATGATCTAGATGACACAAGTAGGGCCTCAAGCTCTAGATGACACGGTCAGTCCTCATGATCTAGATGACACGAGTAGGGCCTCAAGCTCTAAATGACACGGGTCAGTCCTCATGATCTAGATGACATGAGTAGGGCCTCAAGCTCTAAATGACATGGGTCAGTCCTCATGATCTAGATGACATGAGTCAGGCCTCAAGCTCTAGATGACAGGGGTCAGGCCTCAAGCTCTAGATGACACGAGTAGGGCCTCAAGCTCTAAATGACACGGGTCAGTCCTCATGATCTAGATGACACGAGTAGGGCCTCAAGCTCTAAATGACACGGGTCAGTCCTCATGATCTAGATGACACGAGTCAGGCCTCATGCTCTAGATGACACAAGTCAGGCCTCAAGCTCTAGATGACAGGGGTCAGGCCTCAAGCTCTAGATGACACGAGTAGGGCCTCAAGCTCTAAATGACACGGGTCAGTCCTCATGATCTAGATGACACGAGTAGGGCCTCAAGCTCTAAATGACATGGGTCAGTCCTCATGATCTAGATGACACGAGTCAGGCCTCATGATCTAGATGACATGAGTCAGGCCTCAAGCTCTAGATGACAGGGGTCAGGCCTCAAGCTCTAAATGACACAGGTCAGTCTTCATGATCTAGATGACACGAGTCGGGCCTCATGCTCTAGATGACACGAGTCGGGCCTCATGATCTAGATGACACGAGTCGGGCCTCATGCTTTAGATGACACGAGTCGGGCCTCATGATCTAGATGACACGAGTCGGGCCTCATGCTCTAGATGACACAAGTCGGGCCTCATGCTCTAGATGGCACGAGTCAGGCCTCATGCTCTAGATGGCACGAGTCAGGCCTCAAGCTCTAGATGACACGAGTCAGGCCTCATGATCTAGATGACAGGGGTCAGGCCTCATGTTCTAGATGACACGAGTCAGGCCTCATGCTCTAGATGACATGAATCAGGCCTCATGCTCTAGATGGCACGAGTCAGGCCTCATGCTCTATATGACACGAGTCAGGCCTCATGCTCTAGATGACACGAGTAGGGCCTCATGCTCTAGATGACACGGGTCAGGCCTCATGATCTAGATGACACAAGTCAGGCCTCATGCTCTAGATGACACAAGTCAGGCCTCATGCTCTAGATGATACAAGTCAGGCCTCATGCTCTAGATGACACGAGTCAGGCCCCATGCTCTAGATGACACGAGTCAGGCCTCATGCTCTAGATGACACGAGTCAGGCCTCATGCTCTAGATGACATAAGTCAGGCCTCATGCTCTAGATGACATGAATGGGGCCTCATGATCTAGATGACACAAGTCAGGCCTCATGCTCTAGATGACAGGGGTCAGGCCTCAAACTCTAGATGACACAAGTCAGGCCTCATGCTCTAGATGACACAAGTCAGGCCTCAAGCTCTAGATGACACGAGTCAGGCCTCATGATCTAGATGACACGAGTAGGGCCTCAAGCTCTAGATGACCTAAGTCAGGCCTCATGATCTAGATGACACAAGTCAGGCCTCATGCTCTAGATGACACAAGTCAGGCCTCATGCTCTAGATGATACGAGTCAGGCCTCATGCTCTAGATGACACGAGTCAGGCCCCATGCTCTAGATGACACGAGTCAGGCCTCATGCTCTAGATGACACGAGTCAGGCCTCATGCTCTAGATGACATGAGTCAGGCCTCATGCTCTAGATGACATGAATGGGGCCTCATGATCTAGATGACACAAGTCAGGCCTCATGCTCTAGATGACAGGGGTCAGGCCTCAAACTCTAGATGACACAAGTCAGGCCTCATGCTCTAGATGACACAAGTCAGGCCTCAAGCTCTAGATGACACGAGTCAGGCCTCATGATCTAGATAACACGAGTAGGGCCTCAAGCTCTAGATGACCTAAGTCAGGCCTCATGCTCTAGATGACACGAGTCAGGCCTCATGATCTAGATGACACAAGTCAGGCCTCATGCTCTAGATGATACGAGTCAGGCCTCATGCTCTAGATGACACGAGTCAGGCCCCATGCTCTAGATGACACGAGTCAGGCCTCATGCTCTAGATGACACGAGTCAGGCCTCATGCTCTAGATGACACGAGTCAGGCCTCATGATCTAGATGACACGAGTCGGGCCTCATGCTCTAGATGACACAAGTCAGGCCTCATGCTCTAGATGACACGAGTCGGGCCTCATGCTCTAGATGACACGAGTCGGGCCTCATGATCTAGATGACACGAGTCGGGCCTCATGCTCTAGATGACACAAGTCGGGCCTCATGCTCTAGATGGCATGAGTCAGGCCTCATGCTCTAGATGACACAAGTCAGGCCTCAAGCTCTAGATGACAGGGGTCAGGCCTCAAGCTCTAGATGACACGAGTAGGGCCTCAAGCTCTAAATGACACGGGTCAGTCCTCATGATCTAGATGACACGAGTAGGGCCTCAAGCTCTAAATGACACGGGTCAGTCCTCATGATCTAGATGACACGAGTCAGGCCTCATGCTCTAGATGACACAAGTCAGGCCTCAAGCTCTAGATGACAGGGGTCAGGCCTCAAGCTCTAGATGACACGAGTAGGGCCTCAAGCTCTAAATGACACGGGTCAGCCTCATGATCTAGATGACACGAGTAGGGCCTCAAGCTCTAAATGACATGGGTCAGTCCTCATGATCTAGATGACACGAGTCAGGCCTCATGATCTAGATGACATGAGTCAGGCCTCAAGCTCTAGATGACAGGGGTCAGGCCTCAAGCTCTAAATGACACAGGTCAGTCTTCATGATCTAGATGACACGAGTCGGGCCTCATGCTCTAGATGACACGAGTCGGGCCTCATGATCTAGATGACACGAGTCGGGCCTCATGCTTTAGATGACACGAGTCGGGCCTCATGATCTAGATGACACGAGTCGGGCCTCATGCTCTAGATGACACAAGTCGGGCCTCATGCTCTAGATGGCACGAGTCAGGCCTCATGCTCTAGATGGCACGAGTCAGGCCTCAAGCTCTAGATGACACGAGTCAGGCCTCATGATCTAGATGACAGGGGTCAGGCCTCATGTTCTAGATGACACGAGTCAGGCCTCATGCTCTAGATGACATGAATCAGGCCTCATGCTCTAGATGGCACACGAGTCAGGCCTCATGCTCTATATGACACGAGTCAGGCCTCATGCTCTAGATGACACGAGTAGGGCCTCATGCTCTAGATGACACGGGTCAGGCCTCATGATCTAGATGACACAAGTCAGGCCTCATGCTCTAGATGACACAAGTCAGGCCTCATGCTCTAGATGATACAAGTCAGGCCTCATGCTCTAGATGACACGAGTCAGGCCCCATGCTCTAGATGACACGAGTCAGGCCTCATGCTCTAGATGACACGAGTCAGGCCTCATGCTCTAGATGACATAAGTCAGGCCTCATGCTCTAGATGACATGAATGGGGCCTCATGATCTAGATGACACAAGTCAGGCCTCATGCTCTAGATGACAGGGGTCAGGCCTCAAACTCTAGATGACACAAGTCAGGCCTCATGCTCTAGATGACACAAGTCAGGCCTCAAGCTCTAGATGACACGAGTCAGGCCTCATGATCTAGATGACACGAGTAGGGCCTCAAGCTCTAGATGACCTAAGTCAGGCCTCATGATCTAGATGACACAAGTCAGGCCTCATGCTCTAGATGACACAAGTCAGGCCTCATGCTCTAGATGATACGAGTCAGGCCTCATGCTCTAGATGACACGAGTCAGGCCCCATGCTCTAGATGACACGAGTCAGGCCTCATGCTCTAGATGACACGAGTCAGGCCTCATGCTCTAGATGACATGAGTCAGGCCTCATGCTCTAGATGACATGAAATGGGCCTCATGATCTAGATGACACAAGTCAGGCCTCATGCTCTAGATGACAGGGGTCAGGCCTCAAACTCTAGATGACACAAGTCAGGCCTCATGCTCTAGATGACACAAGTCAGGCCTCAAGCTCTAGATGACACGAGTCAGGCCTCATGATCTAGATAACACGAGTAGGGCCTCAAGCTCTAGATGACCTAAGTCAGGCCTCATGCTCTAGATGACACGAGTCAGGCCTCATGATCTAGATGACACAAGTCAGGCCTCATGCTCTAGATGATACGAGTCAGGCCTCATGCTCTAGATGACACGAGTCAGGCCCCATGCTCTAGATGACACGAGTCAGGCCTCATGCTCTAGATGACACGAGTCAGGCCTCATGCTCTAGATGACACGAGTCAGGCCTCATGATCTAGATGACACGAGTCGGGCCTCATGCTCTAGATGACACAAGTCAGGCCTCATGCTCTAGATGACACGAGTCGGGCCTCATGCTCTAGATGACACGAGTCGGGCCTCATGATCTAGATGACACGAGTCGGGCCTCATGCTCTAGATGACACAAGTCGGGCCTCATGCTCTAGATGGCACGAGTCAGGCCTCATGCTCTAGATGGCACGAGTCAGGCCTCAAGCTCTAGATGACACGAGTCAGGCCTCATGATCTAGATGACAGGGGTCAGGCCTCATGTTCTAGATGACACGAGTCAGGCCTCATGCTCTAGATGACATGAATCAGGCCTCATGCTCTAGATGGCACGAGTCAGGCCTCATGCTCTATATGACACGAGTCAGGCCTCATGCTCTAGATGACACGAGTAGGGCCTCATGCTCTAGATGACACGGGTCAGGCCTCATGATCTAGATGACACAAGTCAGGCCTCATGCTCTAGATGACACAAGTCAGGCCTCATGCTCTAGATGATACGAGTCAGGCCTCATGCTCTAGATGACACGAGTCAGGCCCCATGCTCTAGATGACACGAGTCAGGCCTCATGCTCTAGATGACACGAGTCAGGCCTCATGCTCTAGATGACATGAGTCAGGCCTCATGCTCTAGATGACATGAATGGGGCCTCATGATCTAGATGACACAAGTCAGGCCTCATGCTCTAGATGACAGGGGTCAGGCCTCAAACTCTAGATGACACAAGTCAGGCCTCATGCTCTAGATGACACAAGTCAGGCCTCAAGCTCTAGATGACACGAGTCAGGCCTCATGATCTAGATAACACGAGTAGGGCCTCAAGCTCTAGATGACCTAAGTCAGGCCTCATGCTCTAGATGACACGAGTCAGGCCTCATGTTCTAGATGATATGAGTCGGGCCTCATGCTCTAGATGATACGAGTCAGGCCTCATGCTCTAGATGACACGAGTCGGGCCTCATGCTCTAGATGACACGGGTCGGGCCTCATGCTCTAGATGACACGGGTCGGGCCTCATGCTCTAGATGACATGAGTCGGGCCTCTGGTAAGTTTTCTCAGTGGATAACAACCAGCTACTAAAAGGAGGCACGACCTCAAAATGATGCTTGCTGTTCATGTGACAATGAAACCAGAAAATGAAACATCTAACACAAAATGGTTGATGGAGAGGGACCAATTTAGTCTTAACATATTTCTAATTTGGGGATGAAAATGAGAATACTGAGAGCGGAACCCTTGGTAAAGATGTCACAGCAGAATACGTATCAGTTACTGGAAGGTGTCAAAGGTCAATTAGTTACCCTAGCTTTATCAGAATATCATTTGTACACTGGTTTTGTTGTATAATTTTAATGAGTTCATGGTTTGTGTACTTCAATGTATATAGGTCAAACTTGGTTAGGTCAATCTTGGTTAGGTCAAACTTGGTTAGGTCAATCTTGGTTAGGTCAAACTTGGTTAGTTAGGTAAAACTTGGTTAGGTCAATCTTGGTTAGGTCAAACTCGGTTAGTTAGGTCAAACTTGGTTAGTTAGGTAAAACTTGGTTAGGTCAATCTTGGTTAGGTCAAACTCGGTTAGTTAGGTCAAACTTGGTTAGTTAGGTCAAACTTGGTTAGGTCAATCTTGGTTAGATCAGACTTGATTAGTTAGGTCAAACTTGGTTAGGTCAAACTTGGTTAGGTCAATCTTGGTTAGGTCAATTTTGGTTAGGTAAAACTTGGTTAGGTCAAACTTGGTTAGTTAGGTCAAACTTGGTTAGGTCAATCTTGGTTAGGTCAAACTTGGCTAGGGACAGCATTGTGAGTAATTTTTCTGTTCATATTCACACATTTTAGGGACAGCCAGGACGTACACTCCCTGGGAACACATTTGAAGCAAAGACGAAACCACATGATCCGTATCCTAATTTGTATCACTTTGCCCAGACCAGGTGAGATTTTGACTTTCAAGCAAGATCAGATATTTTTTAGGACCTTTTTATCACTTGATTTGTTTTTTTAGATGAGCATTGCGTTACTTTAGAGTCCTAGAATGCAGTTATTTACTCCAGGAATGAAAACTGTATGAATCTCTCATGCTATGAGTCTGTCCATACTCCAAATGTTTCAGTGGTGTTAAATACTGATAAACTTTCAATGATTATACAAACATATTTCTTTGTATTGCTGACTAAATTTTTATATCTTTTGTAGTGGTCTGATGGAGTCCTTGTTTGTTCTCCTGTCTGTGCCGTCCACAGCCGGACATCACCAATTGTTTCCTGTGCTAAACAAGCTCCTTAAAACTCTAGTGAAAACACAACATGGTCTGCTGTTCCTCTCAAGTCGACCGGACGTCATCAACGGCATCATACGCTCAGCAGCCACACAAGACAATGTAAGTGAAGATGAATGTATATGATGTTAATGAACAAGTCACAAATTTACAAACTGTCCAGAGGCTCACTCAGGAGAAAATTCTTGATTGATAAATCTCATATGATAGCATATTAGAGCGTTTTCATTTAAGTAATTCTGTGTTATTTAAAATATATGAAGTGATCATGACATTACCTTCAAGAAACAGAGTTCATTTTGCTGGCAGTGATATTTCATACTTATCACAGTAAGGAATCAAATGTAAGTTAGATAATACTGGGATATTGCTAAAAAGTTTTTGATAGTATTGTAAATTAAGGTAGCTTAAAATGAAAAGGAGAAAAAAAATATCTCGGATAAAAGTTCTCTGTGGTGCACAGTTTGTCTTTAATTTCAATAATTAACATTATAAATTAAAATGTGAGATATCATAAGATTGATTAACTGTAAATCACTATTTTTGTGAGTATTTAATTTCGTGAAAGGTAAGTGACAGACTTATTTGTGAATACATAATTTTGAAGGTGTACCCGAAATTGTCCTGATGAAGCCCAACATGGGGCGAAACCGGTCGACAAATAAAATAGACACGGAAAATATCTAACTTGTCCCTAGTTTGTTGCGATTGATGATCTCCTTTTAGATTTTGAAGGTATGATACTTCAAAAGTCATTTATTTAAGGACATCAGCGAAAGTATATTCACAAGTGATTTGAATTTGTGAATGATGCTGCTCGTGAATAAATATGAAATATAATCCCTCGCAAAAGAAAGTGATTTATAGTAATTTATTTAAATGACAATATGGTCAGAGTTCATACTGAAGTAGAAATACAGAATAGTTGTATTGATTTGTATTGTTACTGTATATGCCAGGAATACAGTAGGGATGACCCTGTGGATGATAATCCACTACACAGACTAGGACTAGAAATCTTCCATGATCTCCTCGCTCTGCAATTTATTGACCAGCTCCTCCAGTACCAAAGTAAAGGTCAGTCCTATAGTCATCATCACTAGAGGTTCCAAGGTCAAGGCCAAATATTTACATACCTTAATGGTCAATGTAACATCCATGGACTGATAGGCATTTTTATTTAAACTTATGATGACATTTTTAAAACCATTTGTTTTGTAAAGACAATACTTTACTTTCCACAAATTAACATAAATATAACTATAGCAATTATTTGACAAAGTTGGCATAGGATATTTAGAGGAAATATGATGATTTATTCGCAGATTGTATCTTGTAATTAAGATATACAATTAAGTATTGATCTCATACAGAGGAGAAGGAGCTCGACGAGGTGGAGCCAATAGAAGCTCTTTATAACCTCTACACAATGACCTTTACCCCTGTGGGACGGGAGGCAGTGGTTCATGTCCTTGGTTTGGAGGACAACCTGTCGGCCATTCTTCCTTTTGTAGAATACACAGGTAAGTCAAAGAGGTTACTGTAAACCAACTATCTTTTACAGCTACCATATTTTGTGATTTCCATCTTTCCTGATTTTTGTAACAGTTTCCTATGATCAACTTTTAGAAGTATGATTTGTTATACCATAGTAACTCTACCATAAGCTTATCATCACTAACATGTCCTAATGACAAACCTTATTGAAATTGCAAGACAATTTATAATTATGAACTCAGAAAGTTTGATGAAAATGCAATCATTTGACATCTCCTGCATTATAACCTTATTGCAGGTTCACTACAGTAGAACAGAGTAAATGACTATGGATATGTAGAACTAAGCTGGAAAGAAAATGGGAAAACTTTTAATTTCTGTAGGGTTTCTGTAAAGATTCTTTATACACAACCAGGAATTTTAATATGTGACGTTTCGGTGACCAGTACGATCCGTACGCTGTCACCTTCCTCAGACAAATGACCAGTAAAGCATGTACACAAAGGTGTGATATGTGTACGAGTTGTCGTGGAATAGCGTCAATTTCGGACATGCTGACAAGTGCCGAAATGATTTGTCAGCATGTCCGAAACTGATGCTATTCCACGACAACTCGTACACATATCACACCTTTGTGTACATGCTTTACTGGTCATTTGTCTGAGGAAGGTGACAGCGTACGGATCGTACTGGTCACCGAAACGTCACATATTAAAATTCCTGGTTGTGTATAAAGAATCCATAATCCTTACTTTCCAACCTGACGAAAATGTTCAGTATTATCTGTAGGGTTTCGTAATTTTATTTGAGGAGAAGACATAATTATGTATTTTTTCAGACAATTCTAGTAACCATGCTATTCAAATTTATTGTTTAGGTGTGGAGGAAAGGGATGCACGTCTTAAGAAGTCTGTATGTGCTGGCTACACCCTTAACTTGCTGTTGTTATTGATCCGACAGTCCAACAACATTCACATTTACCAACAGTTTGGACAGCGCCTTGTAGATATTGCTGAAAAAGGTTTGAACAAATTATCAATATCTGTAAACACTTCGGATGAGTGGGTTTTTAGCTCACCTGGCCCAAAGGGCTGTATGCTGTGCTTGTAAACAATGATCTAAAGGGCAAGTAAGCTTCTGCTGTCCTGGGTCATCCATCCAGCTATAACTAAGAGTTTTTCTGCTATATTGTTTGACCATCTTCTTTCCTTGATTTAAAAGTAAGCTATCAATTATATTTAACTAGAAACATCATACATAAGTCTCAATTCAACATTGCACAAATGAGGGGGCTAACTACTAAGGGACAGAACCCATATGGAGTAATTTGTCTTATTGCTTTAAGCATCTAAGGTGGAACATATGCACAGATATTGTACTGTTGGTCATAAAGATCCAGGTGAGCGATACAGGCCCTCTGGAAATCTTGTTTATTTGAGGATTTTGTTTTTATTCAGTTTTAAGTTGTTTACCATACTTTCTGGGCTTTGAACTGCACCAGAGTATAAGCCACAGGGCTGGTTTTAAGCATTTTATTTATATTTTATCCAAACATAATCAGCACCTTTTTCACAATGTGGTAAGTGTTATGTTGACCATAGTTTGTTGATATAACAAACAACAAAAGACAATTTATCAAGATCATCAGTGAAACATTTAACATAAGTTTACAAATGAATTATACACAGATAATCTTTTATTATGTCCCCCAAACGAAGTAGGGGCACATATTGTGTTTGCTCCGTTTCTTATTATTTTTATTATTATTATTATTTATATTATTCTGATTTCTTCCACTTTCTTCTGCCGGCGAGGTTTCTGACGCGTTTCTCAAACACTATTGCATGGAATTAAACAAAACTTGACACACATATTCATACATGCGAGGCGGAGTGCAGGCCACTTGAATTTTTCCAATCGGTCATCTGAGTGGTCAGCTGTGATCAAAATTTGGCCAAATTTTAGATATTGTCCGATTTTCGTGAAAATTGGTATACATGTATTAAGTGGCACTAGGAGCAAAATGGCGTAGTCCATTTTTCATTCGGCCATCGATCGGTCATCTGAGCGGTCAGCTGTGATCAAAATTTGGCCAAATTTTAGATATTGTCTGATTTTTGTGAAAATTGGTATATATGTATTAGGTGGCACTAGGAGCAAAATGGTGTACTCCATGTTTGGCATGACTGTAGGTCTGATTGTTGTGATCATTTACTGCTGAAGCGGTCGTTTGAGGGACATTTGTAATGGGTTACTTGTTTTATAAATGTTTTCTAAAAACATAAATAGCAATTATCAATCCTGTTAGGTCCTAATGTTACATACAGTTTACTTAACAATATCTCCATTGGTGTCTGTACTATTAAATATCTATTAGTGAAGGCATGTTGACAAAATTCTTATAGTCCCATATTATTTCTTGTGAGTTAGGCACAGCCATTCTTATTGTAAACAAGCATGGCGGTCATTCAAAAATTTGACCTGATGACATATCGGTCCCAGGATACAGCAGGCTATTGTAAACTGTCATTATGCCTTCCGAAGCAACCACGAAAGGTCAGAAGATATTATTGTAATTCATATTAAGAGTATGACTAATTAAATCCATGAGAATGTTATTTTAATGTCAATCTTAAAATCACCCTGTATATGGTTGCCAATGACAGTTCTAGATCTGTTTCAGTCACAAATATGTGATAGACAGGTACTCTTACAAAAACTTGGTACAGACATCTCCTGCTGGTGCACTGGTATCCTTGGTTTAAATCACAATTTTTTTTTCTTTCTTTCTGGAGCGTGACATGTTACAGCAAGTTGAATTATCAGATTGCAAGGTCATACAGGTCAGTAGTGACACGCCTCAACAAAATGGTTGTTCAGAAATACACAACAGTCCAGAGTCCATGTCCAGACGATACCCTTTTTTTCCATTCTGCCAATTTTTTTTCATCCACATACGAGCCGCACTGGCATATAAGCCACATATGGTGATTCCTAAACTTATCACAGGTTTTTTGTTATTGTAACAGAAGCATATATATATATATGAGCTTAAGAAGTGAATCAGAACTTTTCTGAATTTACAATTTTTGTGTCACAGATTTCAGCAGTAAGCTTTTGGATCTGAATGAGTGGCTGTCACCACTTAAGAGTATCACAAGTTACAACCATGAAGGAGTGACTTCAGCCATCACACAGCTTCGCCTACACGCAGACAACCTTCAGAAAATTCCACGTCCCTTGGTCACGGTGGTGAGGATACTGCGTCACATGAGTATTGCCCCAGAACGCAACTATCCAAACGGTTAGTAATCAGTCAGAATAGTAGGATGATACAGAATCTATAGTAGTGGACTGTAACAAGATGTTTAAAATATTTAGACATGGAAATGTGGAAGGGTACAGCTAATGAGACTTGAAAATGGAGGAGGGTGACTGGACATGTAAAATGGAGGAGGGTGAATGGACATGTAAAATGGAGGAGGGTGACTGGACATGTAAAATGGAGGAGGGTGACTGGACATGTAAAATGGAGGAGGGTGACTGGACATGTAAAATGGAGGAGGGTGAATGGACATGTAAAATGGAGGAGGGTGACTGGACATGTAAAATGGAGGAGGGTGACTGGACATGTAAAATGGAGGAGGGTGAATGGACATGTAAAATGGAGGAGGGTGACTGGACATGTAAAATGGAGGAGGGTGACTGGACATGTAAAATGGAGGAGGGTGACTGGACATGTAAAATGGAGGAGGGTGAATGGATATGTAAAATGGAGGAGGGTGACTGGACATGTAAAATGGAGGAGGGTGAATGGACATGTAAAATGGAGGAGGGTGAATGGACATGTAAAATGGAGGAGGGTGACTGGACATGTAAAATGGAGGAGGGTGAATGGACATGTAAAATGGAGGAGGGTGACTGGACATGTAAAATGGAGGAGGGTGACTGGACATGTAAAATGGAGGAGGGTGACTGGACATGTGAAATGGAGGAGGGTGACTTGACATGTGAAATGGAGGAGGGCGACTTGACATGTAAAATGGAGGAGAATGGCTGGACATGTGAAATGGAGGAGGGTGACTTGACATGTGAAAAGTAGGAAAAGTGTGAAATGTGAGCAGCTAGTGAAAACTGGACAGGTTACTTCAAACAAAGTTAAAAGTGTAGAAATGCTGTAAAACAATAGGTATTGAATACGAGAGTAAATGAAACAAGATTGAGTATAAGCTTTACATTGAATGTGTGAGTAATGGGGACACATTTTTGTCTTTAAGATACCTAGTTATATATATTTCAACAACTTTCCTAAATAAATTTGAGTGCATTTTATATTTAAACAAATTTTCCAAATAAATTTGAGTGCATTATATATTCAAACAACTTTCCTAAATAAATTTTAGTGTATTAAATATTTTTAACAACTTTTCTAAATAAATTTGAGTGTACTTTATATTTTTAACAATTTTTGTAAATAAAGTTGAGTGCATTATATATTTAAACAACTTTTCTAAATAAATTTTAGTGCTTTATGTATTTAAACAACTTTTCCAAATAAATTTTAATGCAATATGAATTTTTGACAACGTAATAAAATAGATTTGAGTGTATTCTACATGTTTTTGTTTTCTAAGAGTCGATGCCTCATGGTTTACTCTGATACAATGAAAACTTAATCACTATTTCTTTGTTCATTTTAGATGAGCCTGTGGAGATGAAATATAAGTTCAATCTGTTGGAGATGTACAGTGGAAACTGCTTGCCAATATTAACCAATATCATACAGGTAAATTTCTGTCATACAGGTAAATCTCTGCCGCACAGGTTAATTTCCATCATACAGGTAAATCTCCTCCACACAGGTAAATTTCTGTCATACAGGTAAATCTCTGCCACACAGGTAAATTTCTGTCATACAGGTAAATCTCTGCCACACAGGTAAATTTCTGTGATACAAATAAATCACTGCCACACAGGTAAATCTCTCTCATACAGGTAAATCCCTCTCATACAGGTAAATATCTCATACTAATAAATTTCTCTGATTTAGGTAAATCTCTCTCATTCACTCTCATTTAGATAAATCTCATCTCAAATTTCATTATACAAAGAGGCATTATTTTACTTCAGTCTGAACTTGACTTAAAACATTTTTGAGAGGGAGCACAAGTATTAATATGTTCTCAATTAGTCAACCGTATAACATCACCATTCATAACAGCTGATTTGAATGTTCTTGTCCGTGTGAAAAAAGATGACCTATGTCATATGTCTTCATCAGTATCCAGAAATTAAATTAATTGATCTAATGTCCTGCTTTTGGCTATTTTTGTTTGCTTATTAGAATGTTATTTATGTTTAAATGTAACATATTTTGTTTTGTCATGGCCGTGGGAAACATCATCATGTCATATTTTGTTTTGTCATGGCTGTGGGAAACATGATTATGTCATATTTTGTTTTGTCATGGCTGTGGGAAACATCAGTATGTCATATTTTGTTTTGTCATGGCGGTGGGAAACATGATTATGTCATATTTTGTTTCGTCATGGCTGTGGGAATCATCATTATGTCATATTTTGTTTTGTCATGGCTGTGGGAAACATCATTATGTCATATTTTATTTTGTCATGGCTGTGGGAAACATCATTATGTCATATTTTGTTTTGTCATGGCTGTGGGAAACATGATTATGTCATATTTTGTTTTGTCATGGCTGTGGGAAACATAATCATGTCATATTTTGTTTTGTCATGGCTGTGGGAAACATCATCATGTCATATTTTGTTTTGTCATGGCTGTGGGAAACATGATTATGTCATATTTTGTTTTGTCATGGCTGTGGGAAACATGATTATGTCATATTTTGTTTTGTCATGGCTGTGGGAAACATGATTATGTCATATTTTGTTTTGTCATGGCTGTGGGAAACATCATCATGTCATATTTTGTTTTGTCATGGCTGTGGGAAACATGATTATGTCATATTTTGTTTTGTCATGGCTGTGGGAAACATCATCATGTCATATTTTGTTTTGTCATGGCTGTGGGAAACATGATTATGTCATATTTTGTTTTGTCATGGCTGTGGGAAACATGATTATGTCATATTTTGTTTTGTCATGGCTGTGGGAAACATGATTATGTCATATTTTGTTTTGTCATGGCTGTGGGAAACATGATTATGTCATATTTTGTTTTGTCATGGCTGTGGGAAACATCATCATGTCATATTTTGTTTTGTCATGGCTGTGGGAAACATGATTATGTCATATTTTGTTTTGTCATGGCTGTGGGAAACATCATCATGTCATATTTTGTTTTGTCATGGCTGTGGGAAACATGATTATGTCATATTTTGTTTTGTCATGGCTGTGGGAAACATGATTATGTCATATTTTGTTTTGTCATGGCTGTGGGAAACATCATTATGATTCAGTCTTAAAAATGTCAAGATTCCATGTCTACTATTGATGGTCCTTTTCTCAGTTTTAAAATTTTGAATTCATTGTAACTGTCTTGAAAAATGTTTTCACCCTTCCATAAGTGTTCAGTTTGGCCCAAAAATAATGACTTACTAAATGAAAAACTTTTTTGTGTATATGTAATGGTAGCGAATTTAGTGACCCTCAAAAAATAACAGAAAAAAATTTATATCACAGAATTTGCATGATTTCTTCTTTGTTTTGTAAATACCTGAGTAATGAATGTATAGAGCTGTTAGTACCTACATTTGCCTGAGCTTATTTTCATCGTGAATACTTATAAATAAATACTTTTTGGATCTCCTCTCTAGTATGACTGGTCACCTTGATCTCAGTATAGTTTTAGAACCTGCACTTGTATGTCCATTTTCAAGTTTATGAAGTCTTTAAAAATTAATTTCTGAGATGATGGTGTAGCTAAAAATGAAATACCCATAAAATGCAAAGGAAATATTTTTGGTGATTTCTTAAAACTTGAACCACACAAAAATAACAATGCAATGTAGCTTTAACTGAAAACAAGTTTTTGTTTCATTTTCTCTTTGGCTTAATGACAAAAGGTGAATTGGACAAAAGTTGAAGGAAAAGTTTCCACATATACAGTATTTAATGTGTACAGTTATAATGATGAAATAAACAAATGAAGCAGTAATCTATGTGTAACTATTGCATTCCAGAAAACTTGTGAGTTTCTGCTGCGGCCCTGGCAGCAGGGATTTGTGCCAAGTTCGGACCAAATTTGTTACCACATATCGGTCATAATTCCTACCATGAACATGATTCAAGGTACACTTGCTAGTCTGATTCAGGCCAGAGGGGTGGAGGTAAGTATCTCTTTGATATCTCAAGTTTTAAGAATATAACAAATTTTTAAGGATTAAGAAAAACATGGGTATTGAATATTTTGCCTCATGTTATGTCATGAAATGTGATGTCAGTGTTCTATTGTTAGCATAAGATGTTCTGGAAGTGTTGTTTGCTTCACAATTTTAAGAAGCAAATAAGCCTTTACCATATTTTTCCTGCATGAAGTTCAGGGAGCAAACATATAAACTCAAAAAGTAGAGTTTCCTGTCATTATAAAGGAAATTTGAATTTACTTATTACAAGGTGTGGGCTTATGCTAGATAAGTACAGAAAATTTCAACTCAAATCAACACTTGTAGGTAGTTCAAATGAAACATTGATTTAAAATGTCTTTTCTGAGATTTTCTGGCATTGCAAACCAACCATGGATGTACTTTCATTTATCAACTTAAGAAGTTAGAATATGACGACATTAATGTGTTGGTTAGGTTATTAGAAAATTTGCCAGATTGTTCAGAGGTAAATGAAGTGAAAGTTAAAAAGCTGTGGCTGTTACATACTCTAAATTTTATCTATTTTGAGTATTAATTGTTTTAATAATTTCATTAGCAGTCTTTACCACACTACATTAAAAACATGCTAAGGCAGATTTGTTAAAATTGAGTGATCTGTTTGGATTTATGTTTTGCAAATCTATTTTGTTGGGGAAAAGGCAGATTACTATTGATTTCAGGGTTTTGTGATAAACTGTTGATTTTTTATTAATTCATTTTGGAATTCATCTTCACCAACTTGTTTCTATATATACACACACATGCTGAAAATAGTGTACACAGCTAGCCACAGAAAGGATATATTGTTATGGGCAATATCAAAGAGAATTCTGTCAAAAACAATTATACCCTTGAAACTGTTCTGTGTGTACGTAAGATTTACCATCAGAATCCACTGTAAGGGGCCACACAAGTGAAATATCACTTTCAACCAATTGTATTGACAACATTAAAATTAAGAGAGATATATAACAATACATACATTAATGTGGACGAGTTAAGGGGAAGTAACTCCATAAACAATTACCATTGGATTAGTGATGATTGATTCATTAAGACCGAGACGAGGTCGGGTCAAGGGTCACCAGGACCTAGTTGGTCGGTTGTTCTGGAGCTCCGGTGAAAAATTATCTTTTTGTATGTTTGCACGATATATTGGAACTTAATTTTCTGTCAACATCTAGTTAATATGCTTAACTAGTTGACTGATATATCGGTCTGTGATATTTTCTTCGGAAAATATACTTTTGGAGCAGGAACTTTTGAGAACATGGACTGAGTCTAGTCACTGACCACTACTCACCACTTACGTATACCTGGCCGTGTATGTGTACACCTATAGATGGACTATCTACAGCCTATATATTCTGGAGCTTAGTTTTTTGGTTTACTGGATATTGTTTATCATGCCTCCCAAGACCCTGCGAGATCGAGCTCACAGCAGCAGGACCAGTGGTATTGGTACTAAATCCACAGACGATCGACTAGACGAGATATATGAGATCCTCAGGAATCTTATTACTGAGGATGTGTTGGATAAAAAGTTAGAGAAACTCCGTTTGGACATTCAGCTAGAACACGCAGAACGTATTGAAGCTCTGGAGGAGAGGGTAAACACCCTGGAAACTGAAAATAACAACTTGAAAGTGACAATTTCTGAGCTAGAGAACGAGTTATTGACCAGTCAAGATCGACAGAGTGAGATGGCGGGAAAGTATAACGACCTGGAACAACAAGGCCGGAAGAATTCTGTTAGAATCGTTGGACTTCCAGACCCGGGAGTGAGGGAATCGGTAGAGGACTGTGTCCAAACGATCGTGGGATTTGTACGTGACACCTTGAAAGTACCACTTCAGGAGAGGGACATTGACATCGCACATAGATTGGGAAAGTACAATGGTACAAATCCTAGGAATGTGATAGTAAAGTTCACGCACCGGAGAAAGAAGCATGAAATTATCCGCGCCCGCAAGATCCTGAAAGGTTCCAAGTTTGTTATCTATGAAGACCTTACTTCCTTAAATCAACAGAGACTGAAGGAAGCGTTCCGTATGAACTGTGTCAAAAATTCGTATAGCACAGACGGGAAAATATATGTGATTTTGACTAATGGCAAGAAGCGCAGACTTTTACACGATACACCCTTGGAAGAAAGTTACTTGATGAACGATGCTAATTTTGTATCAAGGAGATAGAAGTTGGACAGTGCACAGTGATCGGTAAATGACTTAATGCCAGTGTGTCTGGCAACCGATCACCTTTGTGTTGTATACTAATGTGCTTTTTTCTGTGGTGTACATGTATATGTGTGTTGTGTGATCAATTCTTCTGTGTGAAAAGGATATATATCATTACTAGAATTCCATTTGTAAAAGGTAAGAATAACTACGTAGTATTTTTTGTGAATTTAGATTTTAAAGTATGATAATGAGATATACACATGTAACGTCATTCAAAGTGAGCATATAGCTTGTTATAAATAATATATTTGTAACTGTCGTAATTTAAGAAAGATTTTTTAAGCTCCGAAAATAAATGGTATGTATATGCTATATTTTGAGGATGTCGTAGGTAGTAGTAGTATTTAAGTCCGTGGTAGTCCATAATATCTTGCTAATAACCTATATTGAGTAGCCAGGTATTATATGGGATATTATATATAACTTACAGAAATGCATGTATGCTATAATATAATTGGTGAACGTGTAGTTGTTTTATATATACTTTCGGTCCGGGTGGTCTCGGGAGGTCCCCCGGTCTATTCCGGATAGTTCCGCGGGCCGGTTCATTCTCCGTGCATTAGTATCAACACTTCCTGTTTGTCATTTCCGGTATAGCGGCACAAATTGTCTGATTGTCCGAAGTTTTCACGGCCAATAGGTTGTGTGTAAGTGTTGAGTGGTGGTGTAGCTCCTTTCTTGACCTTGTAAGATGCTTTTATCACAACCTTTCCCCCCTCTTATCCCCATTTCTTCTCCCTTTGTCTTGTTTCCTATTTCCCAGCTGGAAGGCTGCTCTTACGCATTCATTCAATTTCTCAGTTATGGATGATATCTGTGTACTCTCGGTGAACTGTCAGGGTCTTGGTGATAAAATTAAGAGGAAGGATGTTTTCTCATACTTAAGAGACAAGAAATACCACATCTACTGTTTACAAGACACTCATTTTTCAACAGAACAAGAAAATTTAATTAGAAATGAATGGGGGTATCACAGTTTTTTCAGTTCTTTCTCATCAAATTCTCGTGGTGTAGCAATCTTACTCAATAATAATTTTGAAAGTAAAGTTTATAGAGAAAAACGTGATTTAGATGGAAATTTTTTAGGGATTGATATTGATATTGAGGGTAGTAGATTGACACTTATAACCATTTATGGGCCTAATCAGGATAATCCAATTTTTTATACTCAGATTTCGGAAACTATTGACAGCTTTGGAAATGAAAATATAATAGTCTGTGGCGATTTTAACCTCGTGATTAACCCTGAGCTTGATTATGATAACTCATATAGAAACATCAACAATGCATCTGCTAGGGAGAAGGTGTTAGAAATCAGTGAGACATACAATCTTATAGACATTTTTAGAGAACTTCATCCAGATATTAAGAGATATACTTGGCGAAGAAAAAATCCTATTAAGCAGGCCAGACTAGACTTTTTTCTCACTTCAGACAGTTTATTATCCAGTACAAGAAAATCTTTCATAGAACCAAGTTATAGATCTGACCATTCGGCTACAGTAATAGCGTTAAAATTAAATGAATTTAAAAGAGGAAGAGGTCTCTGGAAGTTTAATAACTCATTATTATTTGAACTAGATTATTTAGACATGGTTAAAAAATGTATAGATGACATAAAATTACAATATTGCCTACCTGTATATAATCTTAACTCTGTTTCGCTTTTACCTAATACAGAAATTCAATTCTTAATTAATGATCAATTGTTTTTGGAGACATTGTTAATGGAAATAAGAGGCAAGTCAATATCATATGCATCTCATAGAAAGAAACAACAGAACCTTGAAGAAGAAAACCTAAAGAAATCTATCGAAATTATGGAAGCTAATATAGACACTGACCAGGAAGAATTAGATGTTAAAAAAAGAGAACTGGAAGCAATACGGTCAAAAAAAATAAAGGGCAGTATTATTAGGTCAAGGGCCAAATGGGTGGAGGAAGGGGAGAAACCAACTTCGTATTTTTTAAATCTTGAAAACAGAAACTTTACTTCTAAAATTATTCCAAAAATTCAGAAAGATAATGGGGACATAATTACCAATCAAGATGATATTTTAAAAGAAGTTAAACTATTTTACGAAAACTTATACAAACATAAAGAAGTTACCCCAATTGATTTGGATCATCATCTCCATGACTGCAGTGTCCCTAAGTTAACTGATGCTGAGTCCAATAATTTAGAAGGTATTATAACATTTGAGGAGGCAGGAAAGGTATTGAAAGATATGAAAAACAATAAGAGTCCAGGTTCAGATGGCTTTACTTCAGAATTTTTTAAAACTTTTTGGAATTTCATAGGTATTTTTGTGATTCGTTCGATTAATTATAGTTTTTCAGTGGGCCTTCTCTCAATTACTCAGAGACAAGGTGTTATAACTTGCTTACCTAAGGGAGATAAGCCCCGTCATTTTTTAAAAAATTGGAGACCAATCTCTCTCTTGAACATTACATATAAAATAGCATCTGGAGTAATTTCATATAGGTTAAAATCAGTTTTAGGAAAACTTATTCATGAAGATCAGACGGGATTCTTATCTGGGCGTTATATTGGGGAAAACATCCGTACTATTTATGATGTAATGCGTTATGCAGAAGATTTGAATATTCCAGGAATGTTACTAATGGTCGACTTTGAAAAAGCTTTTGACTCAGTTTCTTGGGATTTTATTGATAATGTTCTTCGTTACTTTAACTTTGGAGTGGATATTAGGAAGTGGGTAAAAATTCTGCATACTAATGTTTATTCAGTGGTTAATCAGGGGGGTAACATTTCTAGACCAATTAACATTCAGCGTGGTTGTCGTCAAGGCGACCCAGTTGCCCCATATATTTTTATACTAAGTGTTGAAGTTCTAGCTGCAAGAATTAGAAATAATGAAAATATCCAGGGTATACAAATTAATAATGTGTCTATTTTAAATGTGCAATATGCTGATGATACAGGTCTGATTCTGGATGGAACTGAAAAATCACTAAAAGAATCTATTAATGAGCTGAATACTTTTGCTAAGATATCAGGGTTAAATATCAACACCAGTAAGACACAGGTTATTTGGATAGGAAGTAAGAAATATAGTGAGGAAGCTTTTCTTCCAGAGTTAAATCTAATTTGGGGTAAGAATAAGTTTACTTTTTTGGGAATTGATTTTTGTGTTAACCTTAGTGAAATTCCTGGAATGAATTACGATAAGAAACTTGTTAAATTAAAGGCTCTTATTAATGTGTGGGAAAGACGAAGGCTTACTCCTTTAGGTAGAATCAGTATAATAAAATCTTTATTAATTTCCCAGTTCAATTATTTATTTATTACCCTACCAAATCCTTCCAACAGTTTTCTTGGTAAATTGAGCTCTATTTTATTTGATTTCCTCTGGAATGGCAAACAACACAAGATAAAAAAAGACGTGGTCATTCAGAACTACATAGACGGGGGATTAAAAATGATAGATATTGTAGCTTTCATAGATTCTCTCAAACTTGGCTGGATCAGAAGAATATTTCACTCATCAGGGAAATGGAAAATATTATTGAATTCTATTATAGATGAGAAAAAAATGTTAAATTGTGGGATAGAATATGTTAATTCTTGTTGCCTAAATTGTAGAAATCCATTCTGGAAAGATGTATTTAAAAGTATGATTAAACTTACTAACTCGGAACTTTTTAGACAATGTTATATCACATCTGTCTTAAAAAGTCCTTTGTGGTATAATAAAGACATTCAGGTGGGGAATAAATGTGTTTTTTATCCAAGATGGTTTAATGCAGGTATACATACCATAAATGACCTTGTAAAGAATTATGAAGACATGACATTTTATTCTTTTAATGAGTTTGGTAATCTTTTCCCAACAATCAACGCCAACTATCTGCAGTACTTTGGTCTAATTACATCTATGAAGAAATTTCTACGGAAGAATACACTTCAGGTTGTACAGATTCAACAACCTTTCATACCACTTTTTTATGAAATATTTTTCAAAAGTAAAAAAGGTTCAAAGGATTTTTATATTTGTTTAATTAAACGACCACCAATACCAACTGGAATTCAAAAATGGGGGATAGAGTTTGATTTTGATGAACAGAAGAGGAAAAATATTCTAAGAATCCCATTTACTATCACTAAAAACTCAAAACTTCAGTGGTTCCAAGCAAGAATTATTCATCGTATATTGGTCACAAATTCTTTTCTTTTCAAAATTAATTTAAGTCCTAGTCCTTTGTGTAATTTGTGTAATATGGAAAGGGAGACAATTATACACTGTTTGTGGGAGTGTGTCGAGGTGCAGACACTGTTAGAGAGATTTGAATCGTTAATCAATCTTTTTTTTATTCCATTTTGGATGAACAAAGAAACTTATCTCTTTGGTATTCTTTCTCCTACGGCTAATGTAGTAGATAATGAAATTTTGATTATTATTAAACAATATATATACAAGACAAGATGTCTGCACAAAACTCTAAGTTTAAATGGTCTCATAAATACAATAAAAGATCACTTCCGAGTACAAAAATATATTGTTTCCTCTAAAAATTGTCACATAAAAAGGAATTTTGAAAACAACTGGAAAAAATGGAAACCTGTTTTGGACTTATAAATTATATCTTGAGCTACTTTCTCCATTGACCTTGACATCACCACAATTTCAACCATTATTTCATTTTCCTCATTTTGACCTATATATTAACTGTAAATGTTAAAATAGACAGTATCTGATAAAGCCCTCCAGCTTGTTTCTTTCTCTCTTCTCCCTCTTCAATCCATTGCCCCTTCTTTCCTTCCCCTCCGCCTCACCCTTTCCCATCTGTCATATGTAATGTGTGTATGATCTTGTGAGGATGTGTGTGTATATACGTGTGAGAGAGGGTGTGTGAGTGTGTGTGTGTGTGTACTCATCCCATAGAAGGTATGGGCTGGGCCAAATTCCGTAGCCACCTATATTTTCTGTTGGTTAATAGTCTGGATGTTTGATGATGATGATTATGATGATTGATGTTTGATGATGATGATGAGGATTGGTGCTTGTTTGATACATGTAATTCTTTGCGAATGATAATGATATGTTATGTACAATTTAGAGTGAAAATGATGTTAGGCCCTTAAATTGTATGGCGTGTCTGTGTATTGGTGTGTGAGGGCATGTGTGGCTTTGAAAGGCTGCAAGTAAAACATTTATGTTTTGAAAAATCTTTGAAAAATAAAAAATTATAAAAAAAAAAAGACCGAGACATGATCAGTATTATTGTACTGATATGCATTATGATGTAAACTATTAAGTATAGATATTTGGTGATATTGGATTCATCCCCCCAGCAGATACAGGCCATATACATATAACACTGGCCACACACTGTTGAGGATCACAAGCCAATTTCATCAAATAAATGTATATAATTTTATGAAAGAGTTACACCAACTCCTACAAGTAATGTGGAAATTACTCTGTTTATTCAATAGAAGTTACTTACTTTTTACATCAACATAAGAGAAAATTCATCTCTATTTATATCTTTTCTTTACCTGGTATACAGTCATACGCACTTAATTAGAAATCAGATATATTTAAATACCACTTAATATGAATTCAGATATCTTGGAATACCACTTAATATGAATTCAGATATATTGAAATACCACTTAATATGAATTCAGATATCTTGGAATACCACTTAATATGAATTCAGATATATTGAAATACCACTTAATATGAATTCAGATATATTGAAATACCACTTGATATGAATTCAGGTATATTGAAATACCACTTAATTTGAAATAAAATCAAACAAGGGCAAAATATCTTCTTTGTCTTTGTGTTTATATACCGCTTAATTTGAACTCAATCAATTTGCAATCCCGCTTCATTTGAAAGGTAAATTCTATCTCTAAGCAACACAAATTTATTGTTTTCACATCATTTAATTTGGAAGCCACTTTGACCCACAATTGAAGGTGTTGTCACACTTTGGTGATTACGATGTCAATAACCATGTAAAAGTTGGATACAACAGAAATATATCAATCAGTATTAATCAGTGTGTTGTTTGCTATTCGGACACATACCTAAGTCAGTCTACAGAAACAGAGTGACAGTTCTGATGGCTTCCTCCACAAAACACGTACACAACTTATGATCAATGAAAAGTAGGAACTGATTCAATCTGTTGATCAAAAGGAAAAAGCTAAAAGTGACATTGTAAGAGAATCAATCTGAGTACACTACTAAGCAACAATATGGACAGTTCTGAAAAATTAAAACTATAAACTGTTAATTGAGATGCAGATATATTGTGTTTTGTTTGTTGCATATACAAATATTTTACCTGTACCTTACACTATCGTACACATTGATAAGATATTCATTGAACAGTGAACAAAGTCCCTGGTTATATTGAAACCTGGATAACTTAAAGTATTTTGTCATTCCCCAAGGATTTCAATATAACCAGGTTTTACTGTATATAACTATTAGACCAGAAACAACTCACTGTTGTGTATTGTAAGTCTAACTTGATAAACTGTGACAATAAAATATAAAAGAAAATGAACAGAATGATCCATTAATCAATATCAGTAGTATTACAGATTGATTGGTGACTTGATTGACCTGTGACCTTTAGTGACCTATATATTGACATTTAGAGTAATAACTCTGCATTGTTATAAGATATACAAATAAAAAGTATACAGTATTGAAATAAATAATAAAGTTGATTAAAAGTTAAGCCAGTAGCTCACCAGTTATGTAGCCATTGACCTCTTGTTCAGGGTTTTCCATAATTTTGTTAGTAGTAGACTGTGTAGTGAAAGTAGGAGGCTGTCCTGCCGTGTACGTGTAGTCATGTACAGAACATTATTACGGAACTGGATTGGTGTAGGCGACCAAACGATCAAAGTAGCCGGTCAAATTGGCCGGCGACCGGCTCTTATGGAAAACCCTGCTTGTTGATACTAAACTTTTGAAAATTTGCCTCAATAACACTTTTTCACAAATAAATATCTCTTTACCCGATAACAAAAGTAGTTTCTAAATCTTCGGTCACCAAGCAACATTCTAATGGTGTGTCTAGCCAAACGTGAGTGTTACTTGTTCTTTGTTGTTGTACATCAGATTATTGTTATGTACATTTAATGTATGGATCTTTGATGTTCGTTAATGGCAATCCGATTCTTCAACTATTCCTGGCTGGTTCAGACAGAGTAGTATATAAGGACCTGTTTCCCACTTTCCTGGCTGGTTCAGACAGAGTAGTATTTAAGGACCTGTATTTCCCACTTTCCTGGTGATGGTTCAGACGTTGTCCAGAGTACTTGGCCATCCTCGAGTCCTAACGCTCCCTGACCCTGAGTGTTACAACACAAGGTTTTGATGTGCTGTCCTAATCCACTTATCAGTTCAATTGTATTTCTTTTCATGTCGGCCACAACCAGATTCCCATTTCTGTCATAGGCTATAGATCCTGGGCCAAATGTTTCCTCTCTCACAGCTCCTGTTGTCTGAATTTTATCTCCTTTGAACTTTGATTTCACTTGTAACCTTTTGTTGTAGATGATGATTTGTCCTTTCCAATCATCTTCATCTGAATCATCTCTTTTCAGAACTTCCGCACTCAGTACAGCAATGTTGCCAGTCAGGGGACATTGGGTTATCTTCCCTGGTGAAGCAATCCCAGAGGTCTGGCGTGTGCTGGAATGTAGTATTACACCATTTTCTGTGTAAATACTTACTTTGTTTTCAGTTCCCAATATAACGAAACCTTCTTTAGTCACACAGATACTGTATGGTGGGTCATTTGTTCTGAATTTGATGGCTGGTGCTTTTGACAATGAAGACACTTCACAGACTATTTTTTCTTCTCGACAGCAAAACCAAATGTGTCCTGTTTTTGTTGATATGTTGATGTCTCGGATTTGATGTTGGCATTTGATTACCTTTTGTATCTGTCCTTTGATGTCAATAAGCTCTAGTGAGTTGCTTTCAAAATGACAGATCCAGGCTTGACTGTTCTGTGTGGGGCAGATTGTAGTGATGTGATGTCGAAATTCAAATCGTAATTGTACTTCTGGTTCCCTTCGCAGTTTGATTTTTATAAATTTTTCCTTTGGGGGTTGATTTATAGAAATAGTGCCAACAACTTGTTTCAACTTGTCGAGTGTGTCTTGACATGAATGAAATTCTGGCCATTGTTGTTTAGGCAAACTTGGGATCTTGGAATCCAGATTTTGGACATCCAATACCATGTCATGTACAAGAACAGCTGTTCCCATCTGAAGTGTTTGTTTACATTCATTCAGAAGACTCTCCAGAGAGGATATCTGGTTCAGCAGTTGAGTGATATGGTCTTTGAGCAAATTCTGGTTCAGAATTTCAATCTTGTCACAAATTTTGATATTTTCTGTGATCAAGTCATCAATTTCTTGTTTACACCTTTTCCCCTCGTCTGTCACTTTGGAACGAAGCCCACAGAAGTGAAGGCTGTTTTCTGTCATTTCCTTTTGGGTTGCTTGGACCTCCATTTTCAATTGAGGTAGAGCATGTTTTTCTGTGTTATTAATGAATTCTTGTAGCATACTGTTTTTCTGACTTCTCACACTAGAGAGTTCCACAAGTTCATGAGATTTGTGGGATGTAACGCAGCATGTGGCACAAATAAGTTCTTCATCACAATCATTACAAATAAAAATGATCTCCTTTTGTTTGTGGTGTGGACAATTTGAACTGCCTTTAATCCTTACAGGTAGTTGTTCTTGCTGACCAGATGACTGCTTAGTAGACATAGTTAAATGCTAGTTAAAGGTTGATTGTGTTTATTACAACTATGGATACATTGAAGGTTGCAATGATAATATTCAGTAAGCCACTCTTAAATCTGGATTTCATCCCTCCAGGGGGTTTCCTTTTTATTCCGGGAACACAAATATCTGTATAAAAATTTGTCAATTGAATGACGATTCAAATCTGGTAGAGACAGCCGGTATGCTTGAGTGATAGTCAACTTTGCCCTCTCCTGGAGTTGATGGAAAGTTAGTTATGGTAAATGGTTAAATACCAGTATGGAATTACAATGTAGTCACAAGGATGACTAAACAAGAAACTCGTTGTGTTTACCAGTGATCTCTGTCGTTGTTCAGTTTTCACCGTGTACTTATCACAGACTGAGCAGCCATATTGGAACAGGGTATGTTCCCTTGTCAGAAACTAGCTCCTTGATATCCTGGATCAAAGTTCAAAGTTCACTAGACAGCTGTTCCTTTCTGTAATAACTGCATGAAAAAAACACCCTGTACTGTATACTGTATATAGTTGTTGCAACTGGTAGGATTTCTTATAAAAATAACTTGGTTGTAATGACATTGCAGTCAATGCAATTTTTTAAAAGATAAGATTGACACTGGCATTTTATCAGAAAGGTTTATCACCTGTATGTAGATTTATTGCATTCAACCAGGAAGTGCATCAACCAAGGTATGATACACATGTGAGGGTCATTATTCACGAACAAAAATAGCATTAAAAATGTCAGCTGATCTGTTGTAGTAGTAGCGGTTACACAAGTGGTCGTGGTATAACGTTTTTCTTTTCACTCTAGATAGTTATTTTTTTAAAAGTTATAAAAATGACAAGTATGAGCAAGTCTTTTTGTAAAGTTTGAAAGTAAGTGAACTGAGAGAGAGAAATACAATTTACTATGACTACAAGTTTGTGTGACCTGTTTCCATCATTTTATCATAATAGAATATCTGTTCTGAAGTTGAATGGCCCTGTTCTGTATCCATATGTGTTTACCTGGTCTGTTGTTGTGTAATGACCTTTAGTGACATACTGCTCAATAATATGTTAAACTGACAATTACATAATTACATGGGGACATTGTAACTCCTTGCAAATTCTAACCAGAAGTAATGTTTTTTAAATTCAAAACAAAAAAACAAAAAATCCAAATGAAAATGTTAGGAAACATTTGTGAACTACTTAATGTGCTCTTTAAATTTCTGTGAGTGTGTGAAGGGCCCTGTTGGTCAAAGTTCAACCTGTCAGCCAATCAAAACATGTTAAAATTCTGATACCACCAGAAGTAAAACGATTGCAGTTTACATAATTCTATTTATTATAAATAATTTCTCATCTTTAGCTAATATGATAGTATATTTGTTTACTGATCATAATTCTGATACCACCAGAAGTAAAACGACTGCAGTTTACATAATTCTATTTATTATAAATAATTTCTCATCTTTAGCTAATATGATAGTATATTTGTTTAATAAGTAACTTCTCGTGAAAATTCAAGCAGAAACCCACAACAAATCAAATATATGATAACTAAATGTAATAGATATAACATCAAAAGCAAAACTGTCAGTTGATTGAGAGAATAGATGTCTTTGTGACAGCATTTAGACGAGTTGTTTTCTTGTTTCTGATAGTTAGAGAATGACCAGTAAGTCTTTATATCACTTCCTCCAAGTCGTACTTCTATGGACATGGTGCTGAAAATGTTATTTATTCCAATTAAAAACTGATTTACATGAATGTTTTTTCAAAGCCATAGTGATCAATTTTAAATATATAAAAAAAAAATCTCCTTTTTTTCCAAAATATTGAAATTGAGAATTAAGGGATTTAAAGCAATCATTTATGAACCATCAAAGGTAAGAAAATCACAGTTTTTCCCAAAAATGTAATTTCAAAAATTTGCATCAATCAATTGTTGCTGCACTTTGTTTTTCAGGTCGCCTGAGCCAAAGGCTCATGGTGACCTATTGCCATCATGATTTGTCTGTCGTCGTGCGTCGTTAACTTTTCACATATTCGACTTCTTCTCAAGAACCACTGAATGGATTTGGACCAAACTTGGCACAAAGCATCCCCATGGGAAGCCACTTCAAGTTTGCGAAGAAAAAGGGCATAACCGCAATAAGGGCCCTAGAAGGGGGAAAAAGGGGTTAAAACTAGGTAAATCTTTAAAAACCTTCTTCTCATGAACCAACGGTCAGATTAAGTTCATATTTGATATTTAGGGTCCTTATGGCAAAGTCTACAAAAATGGCCCCACATGGGGGCGCTTAAAAGGGTCAAAAATTCAACTTTGACCGATTTCAACCAAATTGGGTAGACAGCATCCCTTAGTGAAGGACATATGAAATTATGTTGAAAAAAGTGATTATGTCCCCTTTGGGGCCCATAAGGGATGTAAAAGGGGCCATAGGTAAAAACCTTCTTAAAATGACTTCTTCTCAAGAACCATTGGATGGATTTTGACCAAACTTGGCAGAAAGCATCTGCATGGGAAGCCGCTTCAAGTTGGTGAGGAAAAAGGGCATGGCCCCAGGAGGGGGAAAAAGGGGAAACTTGATACGAATGTTCTACACAAGGTCCTGGCAAATGTTTTAACTTTTTGGGGCGATTCAAAATCCAAGATGGCCACCCTGGCTAAGACATTATGGACTTCCTCTCAAGAACCATTGGGTAGGTCATGTTCAAACTTGGTACAGATGTTTTACACATGGTCCTGCACAAGTGTTGTTACATTTTTGCAACATTTTAAAATCCCCAGATTATTGACATATATTCCTCAGGTGACCGTTAAGGCCCCTTGGGCCTCTTGTTTACTACAGGTATCAAAATATGTGAAACAAACATTTTCACATATTCTTTATTTTTTTTCTGCGGTTTTTCAGGGCAACCTTTTTTCCCTTTCTTTTTCTGTATCAATAACTTGCTATAGAATGATACTAGAATGATAAAAAAAAAAACCGAAAATGAAAAGTTTAAATAAAATGCTTGTTTCAATCTTTTATTTGACCATATAATAAAATCTAACTGTTTTAGACTTTTATAGAAAAAATTTGATCAAGATGGGGTTGTGTGCTTTGTTTTTGTGGTTTTCATTCAAATAGCCACTTTTTTGCAAGATCAGGAAACAAGATGAAATTTTTATTTTCAGGTTTTCCAAATCAAAGAAAGTTGTCCAACAACTTGAGATTTACATTTTAAGGTCATCTGACCCAAAGGGTCAAGATACAACCTTTGGCTATTGTGCATCGTTCGTTGTTGAGCGGTGTCTGCTGTCAGTAAATTTTTACGTTAAAGTACTATTTCTTCTTAGCATTTTGACAGATTTCAACCAAATTTGGTCTGAAACATGATTGCATTTGAATGTGAATTCAATACCTGATTTGTCAGACCAGCATTCATTTGGTGATTGTCAGATGACCGTTAAGGGCCATGGCCTTCGTGTTTGATATTGTCATTTGTGGTGATAATTCAGGCAATATTTTGTTGAATCTAATAAATGCTTTCAGAGTTATACTCAAGAGAATTACCACAACAATGGTTAATACAATGAAATTGTCAATGCTGTTAACCAACTGCTCCATCACAAGATATAATCCACATAATTCTATTAAATGTTGTATTAAGCTCTCTACTCTAGCTTAAAAGTACAGCTATAAATAAGAAAGCATATGAAACACCAGATGAGATTATTGTACGGAGTTGTATTGAAATACTTCCATACAAACATCCTTAGAACAAAAGTCAGAAGAATACACTTTCAGTAGAGTCATGTAATTATCTCTGTCATATTCTGTAATTCTATTGTCACCTTAAAACACCTTTATTTAGTGACCTCATTTTTAGACAAAAATTGTCACCAAAGTAGGTCAGAGTTCAGAGTTCCACACTCAACATATTTCAAACTGTTTTTATCCTTACAGCACATTACTTGAAATTATATACATGTTGGCACTAAAGTAAATTCTTTTCTATTGTAAGTCTTACTGACATATGTATCTGACTCCTACTCTTCCGGGCTGGTTCAGACAGAGTAGTATTTAAGGACCTGTATTTCCCACTTTCCTGGCTGGTTCAGACAGAGTAGTATATAAGGACCTGTATTTCCCACTTTCCTGGCTGGTTCAGACAGAGTACTATTTAAGGACCTGTATTTCCCACTTTCCTGGCTGGTTCAGACAGAGTACTATTTAAGGATCTGTTTCCCACTTTCCTGGCTGGTTCAGACATAGTAGTATATAAGGACCTGTATTTCCCACTTTCCCGGCTGGTTCAGACAGAGTACTATTTAAGGACCTGTATTTCCCACTTTCCTGGCTGGTTCAGACAGAGTAGTATATAAGGACCTGTATTTCCCACTGTCCTGGCTGGTTCAGACAGAGAAGTATATAAGGACCTGTATTTCCCACTTTCCTGGCTGGTTCAGACAGAGTAGTATTTAAGGACCTGTATTTCCCACTTTCCTGGCTGGTTCAGACAGAGAAGTATATAAGGACCTGTATTTCCCACTTTCCTGGCTGGTTCAGACAGAGTAGTATATAAGGACTTGTATTTCCCACTTTCCTGGCTGGTTCAGACAGAGTAGTATTTAAGGACCTGTATTTCCCACTTTCCTGGCTGGTTCAGACAGAGTAGTATTTAAGGACCTGTATTTCCCACTTTCCTGGCTGGTTCAGACAGAGTAGTATTTAAGGACCTGTATTTCCCACTTTCCTGGCTGGTTCAGACAGAGTAGTATATAAGGACCTGTATTTCCCACTTTCCTGGCTGGTTCAGACAGAGTAGTATTTAAGGACCTGTATTTCCCACTTTCCTGGCTGGTTCAGACAGAGTAGTATTTAAGGACCTGTATTTCCCACTTTCCTGGCTGGTTCAGACAGAGTAGTATTTAAGGACCTGTATTTCCCACTTTCCTGGCTGGTTCAGACAGAGTAGTATATAAGGACTTTCCTGGCTGGTTCAGACTTTCCCTGTTTCCTGG